CCAGAAATGTGGCAAAGCCTTCGTAGTACGCAATTTGAAGCGGTGAGGTCAATGCCCAGACGCCTGTTATTATTAGTCCTTGGTCCTGAGAAGAGTCTGAGAGCCAACACCGAGCCCATTGAGCTTCGAAGTGTCCAAGATCTCTTTCTCGGAAATGGTGTCCAATAACTAATCTTCACCAAATAAACGCATCTCAAAGTATAAATTTAATATTTTCAAATAAAAAAAAAATAAATGTAATTAAGGTCGATATATGCAATTCATGTATCTATCCAACATAATCCAATTGCGGATTTAACATTCACAACTTGACATAAACACGTGACTCACAGCTGTGCTGTCACTCTGACCATACAGGTGTTTCTAGTGCATTATTCATTTTATATATCTCTCTCAATTTTATTGATACGACATCGACTAAAAGAGTTATTCATTTCTATTGAATGCCGACAACATAAAATTCCAGGAGTGTTACTCAATTCTTGTGTATGTCGAAAACTTCCTTATTCTCTAAATTAGCCATACTTCACTAGACATAAATTATACAACAACACGTTTTTATCACATTAGTTTTTGTAGTATGGATATGATGTTGACCTTCAATACTTGTTCGATTGGTAAACTTGTGACGAAATAAACTTATCGTGTTATTTTTGTTATTGTGTATGGATTGCTAGTTGAGTTTATAGTATAATCATTAATTGTAGAGTATCATCTAATCTATCTTCCCCAGTCTATTCTTCTAACGCATCTCTCTCATTGTCGTGACCGATTCCACAATTCTGTTGAATTTTAAATTTTATTTCCTTCAATACCACAAAAGCCATCACTACTTCTTCTGCCGTTCGTCTTCTATCTTAATGCTAACTGCAAAGTTCGAGCTTTAAGTTCGTTTCCTCAACATATCCGTTACCGACAAGTAGTTACGTAAACACCCTTCAATTCTCCTAGATTATCGGCCAACAAATAAGTAGGACCAACAAGTCGGCTGGAATTGTCTTTAGAAAAAGGTACCGTTAAGAGGATTCTTAAACACGTTTGCTTAAACAAATATTTCTGTTAACTTAGCGATGTTAGAATGCTGCTTTGTTTCAAATCTGAACGAGTAATCTAATTGGCTTGCCACAACTTATAAAGCATCACTACAATTAGTCGATCAATAAGGTAATCTCCAACGAGTTTTGAAACGCCTTTTTGTATTTCAGGTAATACTACGCACTGACCTTAAATTACATACTTCAGGAGTTGTAAACAAGTTAAATTTTTGTTATCATAACCGAAAAGTTATGAACCTCTTCACAGTCCATAAGTTATTGTTTGATTGCTTAGCTCCATGGGATTCCTGCTACATCTTTTTGTAGCAGTTTTTAAGTCCCAAATTGAGGAAATTCATTCTATGTATTTCAATTTCAATAGAATTGATACATAATATCGTTTGTCAAAGCCGACATTTGCACAACATAGGAGTTTATTTTTCTCAGAGTAAAGACGAAGTACAAATTCGTGGGAAAACTATCAATAAACATTTCGAGTGATGACGGATTTATTTGGATTGATTCCACTGCGAAAATTTGAAGTGCTCAATATTAACTACAAAAATTCAATGAGATTGAATTCTAATAGGTTGTGTCCATATAATAACGTACCTATTTTTGTATACCTTACATTATTTTTAGATTTAAAATGTACCACTTAATATAACCGAACTCCATCTTACTTAGGATAATAATAGAGTTAATATAGCATCTTCGTCAGGATTATGATAACATAGCATATGGTCTTAATATCCCTTATAAAAAATGATGAATAAGTTACAACAATGTTTATAGCTGGATTGTCACCGCCTGGATTGTGAGATGATCCTCCTTATTAAGCCCAAGGATATCTCTAGAATTTAAACCAGAAACCGTGATATCAATTTAGACTTTGCCATTGATGTTAGTCTACATAAACATGATGGACGAGTAGTTGCAATACCTATTTTCAGTAAAGTATTGTCATAAATACGTTGTGTAATACCAGTACTCACCCAAATCATATCAGAATTATTATATTTATAAGAATTACAAATTGCCTCTAATTAAATTTGAAATTAATAGATATTCTTCAATAACACAAAACAGGTTGGACAAGTTGGAATCGGGAGATGGAATAAAATGAAAAAGTAAGAACATATCAGGGAGGGAACTCAGCGTTCTGAAATATTAGTACGACGATGACATATTGCAAAAACAACAAATTTTAAAAGAACTTTAAACCTTGTCAATGATTATAATCTATCTATGGTATTAATCTATTATATAATCTATGGTATTGCCAAAATCGATCAATACCTTGTTGACCACTACATTATCAAATATTATTCTAAAATGTATTCCCTTAATTTAGATTAAATCTTCTGCAACAAATTTTTAAAAAAATATTGATGAATAATCAAATTTAAAACATTTATAATCAACATCAATACCATAACGTAATATTTTAGCAAAATAGATTCCACATTTCCTGACATTTCCATATCATATTTACCAAACGAATTCGTACCTTTTTATCCTTGCATATTGTTGTCCTAGGTTTAAATCATTTCCTATTCCTATTTAGATTCTTGTAGAATTTCCTCGTGTCCGACTGTGTTCATAGCTTCCCTAATTTCTTCAGTTCACCGTTTATGGTCTCTCTCTTTTTGCATCTATAAGTCCCCTTTTCTTCCTTCTGCCATGCCTTGTATTATAGCTGTAGACTTAATTTTTTCTTTTGTTACTTCGATGCTCTCCTTATCAAACCAGTCCATTGAACTGCCCGATGGTTTTCTTTAAGATCCTAGAATTTCTTCTGCGACTTCACAAATAATATTTTTACACGTATTCAACTCGATGTTAGCATTTTCGTTTTTTACCTATTCCCATTTTTTCCATTTATGTTCTCTTTGTACGCTCTATTTCTGCTGTAATCTTTGAAGTTCTTTGAAACAAATTGAATTTGTCGTATTTTTGTCATTTTGTCTTTTTCACATTCGCAATTCTGAGATTGGCGTCTTACATCAACAATAAACTGATTCATCATGTTGACAGTATGACTATTTGGGAATACCCACGTTTTCTTGTGGGTGTCTTTGCAATTAAGGCATATACTTACAAAGACCATATTGTATGCCTAGATATTGGTTCTCATTTCTTGGGTATGAATGATAGGCAAATTCTAGTTCTTTGTAAAATGTTTCCTTTAAATTCTCCTATTTTCCATAATGCCTATGCGTAAAGAACATCATTTGATAGCATAGAGGAAGAGTATGATTACATGAAATCGTAATAGCAGCGATTGCGGCATTAGGTAGAAATGCCAAAAGTCGTATTGGTCAGATGGTGATACCGAATTCGAAATAGAAAAAAACGAAAAATTATACAACACTGTGTTAAGCTCCAAAAGGCAAACTCAAAGCAAGTACTCTAGACTCAACACCTGCCTAAGAGGAAGAACAAGCATAGAAAGTTGGAGCATACTCAAAAATATTAGATGGGAAAATAAGCATATGAGACTATAATTAAAGAATCTTCGTTTGCACCTTAGCGTGGATAATCTATAATTGTATACTTTGAATTCTCTTAATATACTTGGTATACTTGACTAAAACCATAAGTTCCAGATCTCGTTCATCTCATCTCTTGTAGTTATTAAGTTCTGGGGTGCGTTCAGGCTATACAAAATCAGAGTCCTTACATCTTACAAAGATTCAATCATGTTGTGTAAATAATAGTGTTTAGGCATGAAGCAGCTTTGTAAAATGTAGATATCTAGATTTTAGTGCGAGTTGAATAAAATATAAAACCAAATTTCGGCTATTAATTATAAGTATTTTTTTCTTTTCTAAATGTTTTGATAAGATGTGGGAGTTTTACAAAACTTCTCAATATGTTGTTTAATTTAACATTTAACAGCACGCCATAGTGATAAATAAATCATTGGGAAATTTATCTGTTTCGTTATTGACTCGTAACTCTTTTGAAGAGTAATGTTTTGGAATTTGTTTTAAAAGTCTTTGAAGTATTTCGGTATGAAATTATCGCACTAAATTACAAAGCGAATTAAAAATTCGTGGAAATATATATTTTTGTTGTTTCCCTATAATTCCATCAGTTGCAATATTTACAAAACTAAGCTTGTTTTCATTTCAACATTTTTATTAACTGTTTAACTACAAATTTCTTTTCATAAATCACCTTCTCTATAGAGACATTCTGTACGAACAATATTCCAAGTTATTAACCCTTAACCACGGAGGTGCGATAAGCGGAACATAAATCCCCATAAAAGGTGCCGTCTGGCAGAGTACTTCCGATAGTGGAGCATAAAACCTTAAAGTACTTATGTACTTGTTGTAACCAATATCTCTAGATAATTCGTGACAATTATTGCCTAATTATATAAAACGACAACGTTATGAGCGTAACAACGTTTGAAAAATGAAAAGAGATTCAGATTTCGTTTACTTCGCCATTTACTGGACGACCAGAATCTTTGCTGTTTGCACAAAAATGGAGATTTGGTTATTTATACAATTTCATTGATTCCAGTGTTTATTTTTATTTGTTTTAAAGAAAGTGAAATTGGTTTATTTCGATTCGTAACACTTTCTGTGTATAGATACATAAATACTGTAATAAAATCCCTGTTTCCGAAGAAACAGAAAAAAAAAAGACTAATTAAATTTAAGAAATTTACTGTATTGGATTAGACTATAAGTAGTTAGTTTTGTTATGACTTTCGTTTAGTTTTAAGAAAAATTAGGACGATGTGCAAGAAAAAGGTAATTCATTGAAGTCTATGACCTTCAAATTTTGACCTTGACATTTACATTTTGACAGGTATTGATTTTGGCGACTTTTCAGACGATTTTCGATTCTAAAACCATGCGAGATCGATAGATCGTGTCGATTTAGCCCTTAGGCCGCAATTTCATCCATTTCTGAATCATTTTATATATTTAAATTCCATTTTTTTTCTTTCCAAACTTTAACATCAAATTACGAATTTCTCGAAGGAATTTGACACCCGAAAGCGCGATTATCTAAAAGAACGAAAAATTAGCTACAAAATTACAAAATCTTAATCAAATTTAAAGTTTATTAATAATTTCGAATATTTTCAAAGTTGATAGTTATTTTCTTTAAAAAATTCAATCATTTTGGCTAACCTGTGTAATTTATAATTCCCGCCATTTTATCAACCAATCAGAGAGCCCAGATTCAAACTGAGGCGATCAAATTCGGATATCCAAGAAGCCTTTGTCCAAAAAGGGTATATAAGGCCGCGCAAATTTGACACCGGGAGAGTTCAATTTTGGTTAGAGCGAAGCGTTGTCGAATCTACGTCAATTTAACCTAAAAATTTCTAACCTAAGTTTGAACTTAGAATTTTTTTTTGACAACTCAATTTACTTTTATCTAGTAAAAGTAAACAAGTGTTTCTAAATTATCTTCGAAGAAATCGAAACCATACCTGAGATCGAGTCCAATGTTCCATCCTGTTCCCGAAGGACCCGAGAACTAAATTTCCCGAGAATCCTAAACTTCTAACACCGAAGAACATCCATCCCGCAAGACCAAGGTCAACCAACCATTTTTAACTGACATGTCACACCTCCGGAAACAAGTTAAGTGAACATAATTTCCTTTTATCGAACTCTTTAATTTTTATAACCCTCGCGATTAAAATAAAAAAAAATCAATCTTAAAAGACCCTTATAAATTAACGCGTATAAGCTTTGTCAATTTCAACACTCTTATAAAGGAGTTACCTCTTTCTTGCACAGATTTCTTTATGCTCTATTTTATATTTAGTTCGTAAATTTAAAAATTTAGTTATAGATGTCTCCATGAACTTGCCTTTTATTCTTTTTTTTTTGTCCCTGAGATTCATATTCTTTAATTTAACAAAAAAAATGTATTTTTGTTCGTTGTTATCCAATTAAATAATTGATATATGTTTTCTGTGTGATTTATTTGTAACAAATTTGGTTTATATAATTAATTTAAATCGAACAAAATAAAATAATACAATACCAATCTATCTTGGAATAACTACTAGCTGCATTTTCTGGATTTTCTGCCAGTTAGTTGTTACAAAATTGGGAATACGCCAAGAAAAACAATTATCGATCAAAATGTCTTCTTATCCCACATAGAGAAGAGATAATAACGTCAATAATAATAATAACTTCAAATGTTAGATCGAAATTGTGGAAGAATCAGCAAATAATAAGTTTTTTGTGGAAAAGCATCATAATTTTGAGGTTCAATTATGAGCAGATAAATAAGATATGGAAATTAACATATAAATAAAAATATTCTTGTTAAATAGACACATAAGTGGATTTTAAATAGATAATTCTCTATCTAAGCACTAACTTGCGTTCTGACATTTTTTGTTCATGAACAAATTTGCGCCACGTTTCTTATTCTTAGTCAATTTTTTAGTTCCTTGCAGAGTACTTCCTCTGTTCTCCATTATGCCTCGTATTACCACGTACTAGGTTTGCCTCGGTTTTCTAGTCTTTCTTTTTCCTTGCATTACTGTTTTCCAGACTTGTTTTACATGTTTTAATACTTCTTGTATTCTGCATCTTGTGTAAATATCTCCACCAACTTATTTGTTGCTTTTCAAATAACTCGTTTAATGATTCGGTATACAGCTCCTTTCTTACATATATAGACTTTTCTGATTTCTGAACCCAACCCAACCTAACCTAACCCAACTCAACCCATCCCATCGCAACCCAACCCAATCCAACCCTCTTAGCATATTTCATCCCACCCGCCTTCATCTTGTTCTTTTTTCTATTTGTAAATACTCAAGTCTCACACATCCAAAGATAAGTGTTGATCTATATGTATATGACGATATCTCTCTTTTTTATTATATGTTATAACAGAATCTTTCCAAGCTTTTTTTAATTCTAATACTTCACTGTCTTATTTTCCTTCTCAAAATACTTACATACTATGTTAAACATTTTCCTCGAATAAAATAATTTTTAACATTTATTTATTAATTTCCTACGAAGTGGTATTTAGTTACTCTGAACCAGGTAAATTCGAAACTCGTTAAAATAAACGTTCCACTAATTAGATTAATTAACACATAAACGTTTTTATTAATTAAAGATCCTTCAACAAATAACCGACGCAAATGAATCATTAGAGAAGGAATGTAACTCATCGAGTTATGCACCTTGAGTTGGCAACGCAATGTCTAACAACGACGATTTAATAAACTTTTCTATTTTATTTTTCCGTTCACGTATTCATACTTAAACCATCATCAGGAAGTAACACGATTAGTTATTCTTTAGCCGTACTTTATCATTTCAATGTGTCTATTTTTTGCGCACTATAACGTTTTATTTATTTTATTTTAATTTATTCCAGTTTGCGCCAAACCGGCAAATAACCCAGATGAAGATAGTTACGTTGAAGATGATTACGCGGCGAATGGAGAAAGTGATGCTGTCGATACTGATGATTACGGCGATAACGGAGAAGAACCGGAAGAAGAACTGGATCCACCTACGATAGAATCGAAACCTTTAAATATTACCGTTTATGAAGGTGCTTCAATTGAGTTGCCATGCGATGCTAAAAATGCCGGTAATTTTTTTTTGATTTAAAATAATTCTAAAATAATCATTAAATAACTTTATTTTAGATGCATATGTAATCATGTGGTATAAAGATTCAAAAGCAATCTCACAAGGCAAATCAATCTTTGGTGATAATCCCAACGTAATGGTCTCCACAAACAATATGCTAAAAATCAAAAATATTAACGAATCAAATGCTGGAGAATATATGTGTAAAGTTGTTATGTCTAGAACAGAAAACGTTAACGTTACTCATCGTGTTTTTATCGATGCGACACCAAAAATTATTTCTTTCACCGCTAAAGATAACAGAACGAAAGTAAATAAAAATATTTTTATCATATCAATATATTTTAAATAAACTTCTTTTAGTTGGATGTTGGCGAAACCATAAATTTAGTTTGTAAAGCAGCTGGAGAACCAAAACCAAAAATTAAATGGTATTTTGATCATAAATACCAAGGAATGCACGGTGAGCAAACCAGCGATATTATTGCTGAAGGAGAAGAATTAATCATCGAAAATATCGGTTATGATCGTACCGGAAATTATAGATGTTTAGCTGATAATGGAGCTAAACACCCAAGTCATGATTCTATATTCATTGAAGTTATTCGTAAGTAAGAAATGTAACAAAAGTAATTTGTGTTTTATTAATTTTATGTTTAGATAAACCTGTTGTTAACATCGAAAAGATTTATTCTGATCATACCCTTCGTCAATTGGTTTGTATCGTTCATGCAAGTCCCGTAGCTCAGGTTTATTGGCAAAAAGATGGCAAACATATTCCACGTAACGACCACACGAAACAATCCATAAAAGATCATGAACATCGAGTTACTTTTACGAGTTTCAAAGAATCAGACGAAGGTGAATACAAATGTATCGCCAAAAATAATATTGGAGAAGAAACAAAATCGGTTTTCATCCGCAGAGTTCCTGAACAACCACAACTCGTCGCTTCAAAATCGCACAAACCAAACGGATACGTTTTAGAATGGACTGTTCACTCGCATATGAGAATTGTTGAAAGCGTTATTAGTTATAAAGAGAAAGGAGTAAGTTATATAAAGTTTATTATTAAGATTAATTTTTAATTTGTTTTTAATTTATTAGCAAGATCACGAAAAAGTAGATATTGGCAATGTGACTAATACCAATTCAAAAAATAATTTCACAATTACCTACATTTTCAAAGATTTGAAAAAAGGTTCTTATGTGGTGACTATGAAAGCTAAGAATGTATACGGTTGGTCAACATTTTCTAATCAGGCTCATTTTGAAATTACGGGTAAGTTAATTTAAATTAAGATTTTTTGATGGCACTAATTATTGCTGCGTTTCGCACTTTCACATTTTACACTGAATACAAAACGATTTTTTTTGCTTTATTTCTAATCGTTTAATTATCGCGTGTTGTGGCTTTATTTTTATTTGCATTATTTTTATTATTAACACAGGACAGCGCCATTCACACAAAAATAAGCACCATAGCCCGCACACAAAAGGTATTTTTTTTATATTTAAATATTTATTACATCTTTTTATTTTGTATACATTTACTTATTTTTGCCTTGTTTTTTTATTTTCTTTTTTAGATATGATCAATAAAGCTGAATCACACACAGGTAAATGCACCTTTTTATTTATTTTATATTATATTTTATTAAAATTCAAAAATTTCTATTTGCCATCATATAGTGCCATCTCTATGCAATATGGCGGTTTACGGTTGAGAGTTAAAGTAGTATCAGTTATCAATAGATGGCAGAATATATTTACACAAAGAAATTGATTTTACTCTTTTTGAATATGAATTCAGTTGTACTTGGAACTTTTTTTCTAAAACCTTAACTTCTTAAAACTTAACACACCATTAATTGGGTGAATCATAATAAAAAACAACAATTTGTTGAACTTGTTTCATGTGAAGTATAATACTCAAGTTATCTAGTTTATAAAGGGCAGATAACGCCCTTTCCCCTCGAGTATATGGGTGATTAGTTAAAGTTTAATGTATGACTCTATAAAATAAACCATAAAGGTTCCACGTTTAGTAAAATCAAAATTGTAGCACTTGTAATAAACGGGAACAAACTACATATGAGAACGCATCTATCTCCTTTGCCACCTTAGGTGTTTCCTTAATAAATTCAGAAAATTAACAATAATTTTAGGCAGAGTCATAGCTAGCAGTTTGATTGACACAGACAATGGAGTATTGTAGCAGCAACTTTTAAATCTGCAGTGGAAGGAATACAAAAGGTTGTCATTCAAAAAATTAATATCATCACCGCGAGATAAGCGAAGGAGAATAGAAAGAAACTCCTTCCTATTATTTGATCAACAATATTTTGTAAACTCACGATTTCGCTCTTCGTGGGAAGGAGTCCCAGTCAGGAAATTTTATGGTCTTATCAAAGTTTAGAGTACAAACTCACGGTCATTCATATGTTACAAGATCACTGAACGCTACTTCAGAAATCTGGTGAGGTTTGTAAGAAGATAAACACGTACAAAATTCTACGTCTTGAGTTTGTTTAATGTGCAAAAATGGTTGGAAAAGAATCAAGTGTTACAAAGAATTAAATTGAAGCACTCCTTTCATTGTGCAGTTATGCTCAGTTTGAGAAATTCAAAATTGTTCTTCAAGTATTAAGGAAATCGTTAACCTTTAGGGGGCCGGGATTTTAGGTAACATATTGTCTGAAGAAAATCGATATAAAATGTACTTCATATGATATATTTATCATATACAAAGACTGATAACATAGACCACCACTTAAGTGGTGGTCCCGGTCCTCTAAAGGTTAAATATTTTCGAGGAAGAGTTTTACGTAGAAGATTAGTACAAAATTTATTTGTCTTAGATGGTTGGCAAAATATAAAGGTAAACTGTCAAAATATACAGGGTGATTTATAACATACGGAGCAGACTAAAAATGGAATAGAATAGAATATATACAGGGTGCCCATTATGTATGGAATATAGTATATATCTTGGTAGGTATCAACTTTATAAAAAAACATTTTATACAAAAGTTGTTTAATATTTGATTTGCCATAATAAGACAGCATTCAATTGTTTTTATTTCAGAAAACAAATGAGTAATGAATAACATTTGAATTTTTTTAAATGGCAATGTACCTTTTCGTTTGGCTCATTTGATAGAGATCTTTTTTCTCTTTACGATGACGTAAAATTTTAGTAGCCTTATACCAGAAAATTTTTGAAAAAATGTAAAAATTGTTTATTAAGAAAATTTAACTAATAACATTAATCCAGATATCCAAGATCGTCAAATACCTCGAAGTAACTCGAATTATTAGAGATCTACACTAATTTGTCGTTTATTTGTTTTATTTTGTATGTAAATTTAATTTACGGTAATAATTCGAGGTATTTGACGATCTCGGATATCTAGATTAATGTTATTGATTAATTTTTATTAATAAACAATTTTTACATCTTTTTCAAAAATTTTCTGATGAAAGGGTACAAAAATTTTACGTCATCGTAAAGAGAAAAGTAATCCCTATCAAATGAACCTAACGAACGGGTACATTGCCATTTAAAAAAATTCAAGTGTTAGTCGTTACTCATTTGTTTTCTGACTTAAAAACAATTGAATGCAGTCTTATTATGGCAAATAAAATATTAAGCAACTTTTGTATAAAATGTATTCTTATAAAGTCAACATTTACCGAGATATATACTATATTCCATACATAATGGGCACCTGTATTTATTAAATATGTAGATATTTATAGACAGGTATATGATATACAGAGTGATTCAAAAAACCGCTGACAGACTTCTAGGACAGGTAATATATCAAAAATTAAGATGAAAAGTCTTAATATACATGAGGTCGCAAATGGGTCATTAACGAGATATAGCGAGTCAAAGTTTCTTTAAAATTAAACATTATCTGCAATAAAAAGCCCTTTTTTAAAAATATTTTCAACGCCACTGCTAATTTTGTCAAACGGGCAGTATTTTCGTGTAAAGTAATGAATTATTTATCAATTGGCCTCTTACAAAACTTTGATTAAAACTACAGTTTTTGATTGGATTAACAAATTTTCTACAAACGTATTTTTCTTAAAAACAATTGCTTTGATCAAAGTTTTGTAAGAGATCAATTGATAGATAATTGATCAGTTTACACGAAAATACTGCCCTATTTGACAAAATTAGCAATAGCGTAGACAATATTTTTAAAAAAGGGCTTTTTATTGCAGACAATGTTTAATTTTAAAGAAACTTTGACCCGCTATATCTCTTCGAAGTCTGTCAGCGGTTTTTTGAATCATCCTGTATATATATAACTACAAAACAAAAATAAAACAAAACAAAAAAAAAAACTATTTAACAATTCGTGAAATAAAGTTTACAATCTCTCAATCATAACATTATTCTCTTATTTCCAATAGTTTCTAACAATTTCTTCTTAAATGCTGAAATAGTTGTTAAAAGGGTAGGTAGTAGGGGTCAAATTGAAGAGATTTTCTTAATAATGTTTTGTTAAAAACTTAATTAGTTGCATAGATATCGCATGTTAATTTTTTAAATAATTTAACGTCCATTTTTGAGAACCGCTGATATTCAGTAAAGAACAATTAAAATATTTGTCACACCATCAACCTCATTTTTGAAGCTGTAAAACTAAACAATTTATTGTTTCAGTAGTTTAGTTATTCTAGATAATACGTAATTTGTTAAAAGAAATAATAGATGTTAATTTATGAAACGTCTAATAATAATGTTTTAAATGCAAACTACTTGGATCTGCATCAACAACTTCTAGAATTTCTTCTTCTACATTCACGCCATGTTTCTTTGGTCTACCGCCACCAAAGCCTTTCTTAGGTTGTCTCTCTTCCCCGTGTCGATTTGGAAATTGTTTCAAATAGAAATGTCTTACGTGTGCAGCGTTTTCTCCAGCAGCTCCATAAACAACAAGCACATCTACGTATTTCTCGTTACTGTAAATTGTCATTGTAGTTTTTGATTTGTAATAGTTCTAATTTAGACATTAAATGACATTGTTTATTAATTGTTAAATGTCCGCTGCTAAGTAACCAAATCAACTGGATTAGCAGCGGTTCTCAACAAAAAAACACCAAACACGCGTTTTAACAAATTTTTAAATAGCCATAACTGCTATATTACCAATATTTTATTATTTTTCTTAATTATGCATTGTTTAAGTAACCCCGAAATGCTCGTAGTTTGAATTTAAACGTAGTGTAATACCGTATATGGTAAGAAATGCTCGGCCATTAATTCAACTTTAACGTTCTATATCTTTATGATTATTAAGTTATGGTCAAAACATTATTAAGAAAATATCTTTAATTTGGCCTCTAGTACCTACCTTTTTAGTCTGCTCCGTATGTTATAAATCACCCTGTATATGGAACTCGAAGATCATGCTATATTATGACAACCTCAAAATCAAACTTTATGTTTGCCATGGACATAATAACAAACTGCAGTTTAGAAAAAATAGGTTCTGTCGTTTATGTTCTTCAATATGTTGACATAAATGTTCCCAAATGAAATAAGAATGATGATTAATTGAGCACCCATTGTTCAGTGACAATGCAGAATCAATAAGTATTTGGACATATGTAACAAAACTTTATTTACATAAAGTACTTGATAGAGCCTTCACGTGCGGCAATTACAGCCTCAACCCTCCTTGGCATGCTTTCCACAAGTACCATAATGGTTGCTGTTAATTTCTTCCTCTCACCTTGAAGAAGACGTAAATTCTTTCAAAGATTTTGGACGGTTGTTGTACCCTTTAACACGACGATCTAATTCGTCCCAGAGGTTCTCGATGAGCTCATCGCCTGTCAATTCGGGTAACCCCATTGTCACCGCACCAATTGATGGTGGACCTCGCAACAGGACAGCTAACGTTTCCGTCTTCAAAACTAAAAACTAAAACTGCCCTAATGTTTAAGCATATTGTTGTCTAAAATTGTGCAGTAAGCGTTGGGGTTGAGGTAGTCAAGAGTCTCGATTCATACCAAAAGAAACACTGCCTGATCATAATCTCACCTTCGCTGAACGTTATTGTTGCCACAATGCATTCGAGCAGGAGGTGTTGATTACGAGCAAGATTAGAGCAACTCGGTTAGACTTAGTGATCAAAAGTTTATGGGCGACAGCACGACAAAAACAACACTCCTGGAATGCCTGTTGAAATTCCTAACGTATGAGGTCATCGATTGAGTGCGGTGCTTTCGAATTATTCTGGACAGTATTCGTCTTCTGTGATGCCCAATAATTACACCTTTCTCGAAATAACATTCTGCACTCTGTGACCTCTTACATGCGAATAAAGCCATTCACTTTGATTTATTGGACGACATCATTGCCAAATAGTGATAAGATAGATAGTTCATCAATCACAATAAATGTTGGCAGAACTTCTATAAAGTTGCTTTCAAAATGTTTTTCGCTTTTGCTGCCAAAATACATTAGAGCGATGGCTTGACGTAAAATGTTACTATGAACAGGTACATTAAGAGTGCTGTCTTAGCCTTGCTCGTAATTTTCAAGTAAGTCCTAAACAACGGCATTCTAAATAAGTAAATCGCTCTCGCCGGCCATTAAGTATGTAGATCTCTGTATTTCAACCAAAAGATTTAACAAATTTAACAGAAAGCTGTATAAAGTTAATAAATTCATATAATTCTATTCAGTTTTTGTTTGACAAGTACACAAGCACTATTAGTACGATTTGTATTTAAAGTTGTAGTATCACAACAAAGTAGTTCCACTTTATCTGAGATTCAGCGATCATTATTTCAATATGAAACAACAATCGAAAGACGTTCTTCTTTGATTTTCCGGGATCAAAAGCTCGTAACACTTCTCCATCCCAAAAAACAGTCACAACGCTCGGTGACTCATTTGTAAAATCAACTTTTAAAGCTTCTGTCCTCAGTGAGGACATACTTATTGGAAAATCGTCGGTATTACATACAAATACCTCAATAGTGGTTTTGATAATGCAAATAAAATCTCTCTTATTTAAATGGCTGTCAAGCATTGCTAATTTTGGAGTAAAGAAATGTTGCTGCTTAGATCTTTAACTTGTTCTAGGTGACGTATCTTCGATTAGCGTTGGAAAATCTGCTTGTAAATCTATATGTTTATCAGATGATCTTCGTCAATAGTTCTAATATGTGCACTTTCTTCTTTATCAACCAGTTGTTTGTCCAGGCTTGACATATGGCGATGCAAACAAATTCTATCTTCCAATCACACAGATTTTCCAAGGTTCTTACAAAGTCTTGTTGACTCACTTCGAATAAGTCTTGTGCACTTTTTTGCAAGTTTATCCAAACATGATATTTAATTCACGAGATTCTTCACGCAATTAGGTGAAGATGTAAAGATTTAGTAGGAATTTGTAGAGCGAATTTTTCCTTATAAGGGATTCTTTATCCGTTATAATCGTTTATTTGATATGTAGCCATTTCAACCTTACTAAGTGGCTCTACCCTACTCGGTGCAGCCACTTAGTTGGTGATCTTCCTCTTGGTCTTTTGCCTTCTACATTTTCTTGGACTATTAATTTTTCCAGGTTATCTCCATCTCTTCTGATTATATGCCCAAAATATTATAGAATTCGCCGCGGGCAAATAGTGGACAATCTGTCTTTGATCTCAAGCTCTTTCAGTATAATATATTATCCTCGTGAAGAATACCAAGTTCTTTTTATTTGTACTAACACACGGAGAGTTATCCTTACACCAAGGATCAATTATTTTCCACCCACTCTGCATTGTTCGTCTTCATAAGCAATGTTTTTACGAATTTCTTATACTGATACCTTTTTAACACTTTTGGCATTTTTTATTGTGCTATTTCCAACGTACCTACATGTTTTATGTTTCTTTTGAAGACGTCCTTTTTGATTGTACGTGAAGTGTCATTGTAAGGTTTTTTGTTAAACAATTTGTACAACCCCCTTCTCCAGATTCTTGTGGAATTGGGTTGGTTTAAACTCTATATTACAGACTATTAAATATACTTAAATAAAACTTGCTGGATTTAGAACCTAGAATTCTAATCTATACACAATATTTAACGACCCTTTACCTGTTGTATACGTTGTATAATTACTGGTGGGATCAGAACTGTTTTCATGGAGTGATTTTACCCATTATTGATTTTACCCATCCCCATGATTTGCTGCGATCTGATACTCATTGATGGTTACCTTAAGAGATATTTGGAGATGATAAACGTAGTTGTGCTATTTAGCTCCTGCCAAATAAAAAGTTTTATGGGCGTTCCTCTCTTTATACACTTTTTTTTATACAACATATGCTATTTATACAAATGTAGTATGACGCGGGGAATTTTTAAGAACAAAAGTGATAAAAATCGATTATTGAGTCTTTGATGGCCATTCAATTTTACAATGTGTTTATCAATTATATTTCATCAATTATATTTTTAATAATTTCCCAAAAAATGGATAAATCTTATTTCTAATAAATATTATTTATTACAGAATTAAAAGAACTGGAAAATCAAGAAGATACAGTCCGAACTGGTGAGTTTTTTTTAAATGGTCTCTTTATATTTTAAATTCTAATGTATTTTTTGTTAATTTTAGGTTCCCAAATATCAGATTCTGGTAGTTTAAATCTTTTACCATCAATTTTACTTATCTTCACAACCTTCATTTTATTACGACCTTGAGCAAACGAATAAATCAACAATTTGGACTTTTAAAAATTTGTGTTAAATTTCCATTTCTGGTGTAGCTTGCAAAGCGAAGAAAACCAAAGTATTTAAAAACAAACCACGTAGATTTAAGTTAAACTGGAATTTTAACTATTTTATTTCACCTCTTTTTGTTTATTTTGTAACTAATTTTTTTTTAATTCAATTCTTTTTTCAAGCGTGTAAATATTCTTATTTGTGCTATATTGTTCAATTTAAAACATTGTTTGCGTGCGATTTCTCATGGATATAATATGATTAGTGAAAAAATAAGTACGTTTTTTTTTTGAAATATAGAAAAAATTGTTTTTGTGAATTTTTTTTTCTATTTCTGTGATGTAAATGTAATTCGCTCTGATAGTAGGTTTTATTTATGGGAACAGTTGCCATATGTACAGTATAAAAGAGAGAAAAACCGGACATCAAGAACAATATTATAATAGAATAATAATAATAATTTTTTTTTCTGTAATTACACCTAATTAGTTATCAAGAAAATTATCATTTACATTTTATATTATTAAATACATATTTGTAAATAATGGAATTACTTAAAATATTGTTTATAGCAATGTTTACATTAAATTAACATCATCACTTTTACGCAAATTCTTCTAATATGTGTACAATTGATGTTTTTTTTTTAAATTTAAAATAAACCTGTGTTTTGTCTAGTCGACAGGTTTAAGTACACTTTCTTTCTGGTTGCTACGCTAAATAAGTGCGCTATAAAACATTAATTAGATTATTTTTATTTACTAAAATCTAATATCTTTAAAATGATAAGTAGAAGTTACATAATTTGTAAATAATATTGTTTTATATTCTATATTTTTGTGTGAACTTTTATTTATATCTCTTAGTACACATATAATATTAATATATCTTATATAAAAAAATTAAAAAGTCATAATACGTAATAATATCATATATTGATGAATTAAAGTATGAATGTGTTTTTTTGAATTGATTTAGCAAGTACAAATTGTTCTTTATGCACAAAAAATATAATCGTGCCAAAAGGAAAAGAACTAGTAGCGGCAGTAATGAATTTTATAACGAAAATTTGTTAAATTGTTAAATCATTTTTCTCTTTTTTTCTATTACATTATTTATTTTTCTATTTTGTAAGTAAGTAGTGATAAAGAGCCTAAAGTTTCTTATATCCTTATACATTGAACCAATGAGGACTGTTAAAAAGTAGAAAACAACATATTAAACAGGACTGAAGGGGAACTATAAAGATGCCTTATATACATTTTTGCAAACGAAATAAAATAACAAAAATATAACATTATCATTAGTTGTAATCAAAATTGCTTATATTATCAAGATTTAAATGAAATTTTAAAAGGTAACTCAACTAAATCAGTTAAAAGTTAGTTATCATTTTAAAATTTTATTTACATGTACAATGCGTAAATAAAATTGTAAATGTATGTATAATAAATAAATGCAGTTATAAAAGACAAATTTTATATTTTTTCACAATTTCTTATTATTTTTTTAACAAAAATCTTTAAAATTGTAAATAAAAATATAGTATATATCCAGCATTATAGCAATTTTAGTAAACATTGATAGATGTTTTTTTTTAGTAAAGCAAGGTAACAATAAGAAAAAAATTATTCAGATTCGAATCTTGTGCTCTATCAACAACAAGATGTAAAACCACGATTTTATCTAATTTTCACGGATTCGAATGTTTCTCAATATTTATGCATCTGAGAGCAAAACTGTAACAGAGCAATATTGATAAGAATAAAGTTTGCTACAACTTCTGCCAACAATAAGATCTAAAATCACAATTTCATCTAATTTTCTAATCTGAGAGCAAAAGTGTAAAACAGTAATATTGTTAAGAAAAAAATTTGCTAGAACTTTTATATTAAATCTTTGTTTCTAAAACATTTCGAATCCCGTGTTCTACCAATAGCAAGATTTTCGAACATTTCTCGATTTTTATCCACCTGCGAGCAAAAATGTAAAAGAGCAATATTGTTAAGAATAAAGTTTTCTACAATTTTTATACAAAAACTTTGTTTCTAAAACGGTTCGAATACCGTGTTTTATCAACAAGATATAAAACCACGATTTCATCTAATTTTCACTTATTCGAATTTTTCTCAATATTTATGCATCTGAGAGCAAAAGTGCAAAAGAGCGATATTGTTAAGAATAAAGTTTGCTACAACTTTTATACTAAAACTTTTTCTTTAAAACGATCCCAATCGCATGTTCTACCAACAATAAGATCAAAACTACGATTTTATCTAATTTTCATCTTTTCGAACATTTCTCGATATTTATCCATCTGAGAGCAAAAGTGCAAAAGAGCAATATTGTTAAGAATAAAGTTTGCTACAACTTTTATACTAAAAGTTTTTCTCTAAAACGTTCCCAATCGCATGTTCTACCAACAATAAGATCTCAAATCACGATTTCATCAAATTTTCACCTTTTCGAACATTTCTCGATTTTTATCCATCTGAGAGCAAAAATGTAAAAGAGCAACATTGTTAAGAATAAAGTTTTCTACAACTTTTATACAAAAACTTTGTTTCTAAAACGCTTCGAATACCATGTTCTATCAACAACAAGATATAACCACGATGAAACCACGATTTCATCTAATTTTCACTAATTCGAATTTTTCTCAATATTTATGCATCTGATAGCAAAAGTGCAAAAGAGCGATATTGTTAAGACTAAAGTTTTCTACAACTTTTATACTCAAACTTTTTCTCTAAAACGATCCCAATCGCATGTTCTACCAACAATAAGATCAAAACTACGATTTCATCAAATTTTCACCTTTCCGAACATTTCTCGATTTCTATCCATCTGAGAGCAAAAGTGTAAAAGACCAATATTGTTAAGAATAAAGTTTTTTACAACTTTTATACAAAAACTTTGTTTCTAAAACGCTTCGAATACCGTGTTCTATCAACAACAACATATAACCACGATGAAACCACGATTTCATCTAATTTTCACTAATTTGAATTTTTCTCAATATTTATGCATCTGATAGCAAAAGTGCAGAAGAGCGATANTTTATACAAAAACTTTGTTTCTAAAACGCTTCGAATACCGTGTTCTATCAACAACAACATATAACCACGATGAAACCACGATTTCATCTAATTTTCACTAATTTGAATTTGTCTCAATATTTATGCATCTGATAGCAAAAGTGCAGAAGAGCGATATTGTTAAGAATAAAGTTTGCTACAACTTTTATACTAAAACTTTTTCTCTAAAACGATCTCAATCGCATGTGCTACCAACAATAAGATCAAAACTACGCTTTTATCTAATTTTAATCTTTTCGAACATTTCTCGATATTTATCCATCTGAGAGCAAAAGTGCAAAAGAGCGATATTGTTAAGAATAAAGTTTGCTACAACTTTTATACTAAAACTTTTTCTCTAAAACGATCCCAATCGCATGTGCTACCAACAATAAGATCAAAACTACGCTTTTATCTAATTTTAATCTTTTCGAACATTTCTCGATATTTATCCATCTGAGAGCAAAAGTGCAAAAGAGCGATATTGTTAAGAATAAAGTTTGCTACAACTTTTATACTAAAACTTTTTCTCTAAAACGATTCAAATCCCATGTTCTACCAACAATAAGATCTCAAACCACGATTTCATCAAATTTTTACCTTTTCGAACATTTCTCGATATTTATTGATCTGAGAGCAAAAGTGTAAAAGAATAATATTGTTAAGAATAAAATTTGCCACAACTTTTATACTAAAACTGTGTTTCTAAAACGTTTCGAATACCATGATCTATCAATAACAAGATATAAAACCGCAATTTCATGTAATTTTCACTTATTCGAATTTTTCTCATATTTATGCACCTGGGACCAAAAGTGTAAAAGAGCAATATTGTTAACAATAAAGGTTGCTACAACTTTTATACTAAAAGTTTATTTCTAAAACGTTTCGAATTGTTTTATATCATGTTGTTGGTAGAACATGATATAAAACAACGATTTCAGAAATCTATTATTCATTATAAATCAAACTATAAAAAAATTAATATTCTTCCATAATATCTTGTAAATCTTTTCTTTTCAAATCCGGAACTGTAGAATCATCCGCCGGATATCCAACCGGTAAAAGATAAATTAATTTTTCCGAATTAGGTCGATTTAATAACGATCGAAGAGACGGACCACAATTTAAAGGTGTTGATATAAGTGACACTAATCCTGATACATGAATAGCGCTTATTAAAATTCCTGTAGCTATGCCAACACTTTGTTCATTATAATAATGTAATTTTTTCTTTCCGTCATCTCTAAAACTATACATTTGTTTAAAAACAAGAATCAACGCCGGCGCTGTTGTTAAATATTCTTTGACCCAATTTGTTTTGAATGGTTTTAAATCGGTGGTCCATATTTTACCCATGCGTTTCTTATAATTAATTTCTTCTTCAGATTCGATGATTTCTTTAATTTTTTGTTTCATATTTAAGGAGGTAATTAAAGCAAACGTCCACGGTTCTGTGTGTGCTCCACTTGGACCTGTACCGGCTGTTTTGATAATGTTATAAAGAACTTCTTTTGGAACAGGATCCGAACTAAAATTCCTAACAGATCGCCTTTTATTCATAAATTGAAAATATTTGTCTGATTCATTTTTCATTTCTTCTTCACTTAATCGGTTATAAACGAAGGGAATGTGTTTTAAATTTTTCGGTAAAGCTGGTATGCAGTCTTCTTCTACATCTTCATTATCATTTTCTTCGTTATACTCGGCAACTATTCACGTGAAATTAAAATCATTAGAATTTAGAAATAAATATTATAATTTATGACTTACTTTCATCTGGGGTTTTAAAATTATCATTTAAATTTACATTTCTTTTTATTTTTCCATATTTAAGGTAAACGTACAATCCCCTGCTTAATAAATATCCCAGCAAAACGGTTGCTATGTAATGCCAATATAACTCAAAAAACATATTACTGGTAAATAAAGGAGTTTGTTTATTGTTCAGAGCAAGATTACTACTGAAACATAAGTTAAATCGGAGATAGAATGCGAATAATGTTCTTGTGAATGGCAATGACCTAAAAATGATAAAAGTCACATGAGAAACAAACTGTTTTTATTTTTGAGTTTGATAGATGTTATTTAAAGTGATAGATATATTCCGGATGTGTATATTAAAAACGTTATTAAATAATTTATCACGTTCGTGGTAATAAAGTAAAAATAAATTTCGTTTAACGAATTCCTAAGTAATACCTACGTATTTTTGCTGCTTTAGCATACATTCATTACGAAGTTTAAATATTTTTGAATTGTGTTATTTGAGTTATTGTTTAATTGTGTCTAGATTTCTTTTGCATATTTTTTTTAATTGTCAACTAAGATTAATGCAAGAAATGATGAAATTATGAAAGTGTTATAGTTAGATATTAATAGAAATGATAGAGATTATAATCGATGCTATGGTTTGAAAAATGATCATAAATCATTATGAATGTAATGCTATGAGAAGTAGTATTTCGCACCTAATTTTCGATTCGATCTGAATCATTCCTGCCAATACCAAACCTAATTACAGATTTATCAAGTCTCGCACTTGATTCTATCTTAATAACTAATCTTATCTCCAGAACTACTCAAGTTAACAAGATGGATAATAATGGGTACTTGCAACAGACTTGTTCTAGACCTTTAACCCTTTTTGACGGATTCGTAGATGGATTACAAAAAATGGCTCTTGAAAAGTACTTGGAAACTTATACATAGAAGATCTGAACCTTGCCTTTACTAAAACCCTTAAGAAATTAAAGTATATTCTTCGGTAAGCGAGAACCATTTTCTCATCATAATCTTGTGATTTGTGTATTTCACAATAATTTTCTGCAATCTCTTTTAGTACACAATGAGAATCATTTCAACCTCATTAAGCTGCATGAACTCGATGACGGTATTGCTTAGTGCCTTGTAACTCCTGTAAGACTGACATGACAGTTCATCTTCATGTTTTGATCTTCACATACCATGTTAACCTAATCTTTTCTAATTAGGATAACCACGACTACTGTGACCTTGAAAAGAAATATGATTATTTCCTTAACGGTGGTTGATTTCTGTTACTTCACACCAAAATCAATAAAAGCATAGCAATACAAAAAGTTTGCTGTTTTTCTGTGCCATTACTATTTCATATACATTAAAATTATAGCAACTAAAATAATAAAAACTGACAGAAAAACCCGTTAGAAATGCTTACATGAAGAATTCAAAAAAAAGACATCTCGTATGTCCCAGCATCTACATCAGATCAAGTTCATTTCAAAGTTAAACCTTGGGTAAATTTCCGCAGTTCTTGATGCACATCGTTTTGTTTCATAGAACAATCAAACAGACAACAGGAAGACAAAGGAAAAAAAGAGAACATTGGACAAATAGAAAAAGCTAGCGCAGAGAGGAGAAGTAGTGTGCAGGGTGGGCAAATTTAGGTGTTATTATGGGCTATCTCAGAAACTATAAGAGATACGAAAAAAGTAGGTGCCATCTCCCGGTCTCTTTTTCCGAGACTAATCCAATCCTGCAAAGACCAAATCTCTATCTTCTTTTGTTTTTAAGTTATAGCCAAAAAGTCAAATTTTAGCGATTTCAAAAAATGCTCATATTTCGTTTATTTTTAAAATTAGAGAAATGGGGTTAACTCATTCTTAAGACACTTTTTTGAGTAGAATATACTGACGTTGAAAAATTTTAAACATTGCTAGAAAAGAGTATATTTTTAGCTTTCTAATGATGTATCGCACGCATGATGTATCTGCAGAAAATAAGCGTTATTTTTCAATTCTAAAATATTAAAGATTAAAATTTATATTTTTAATTATAGTAGGCGAGGAAAACGCTAAATGCTACTTAGTTACTATAGCAACGTGAGTTTACTTGTCATTTCGTTCATGAATTTTGCGAAAGAAGTTTCCCGTTTAAGAAGTTCCGCATTATCTTTAAATGAAACGATAAAATTAAATATAGAATATATTGGAGTCCGCTTTGAAGATGATACTTTAATGATAAGTCTTCATATCTCCATTGAAACGGTGTTTCCTAATTTTCCTAAACCCTAATTTTCCTCTATCTCACACAATTTCAAAAGCTTTCAGAGTGTTAAAATAATCGGTGACCGCAGCATAACACAGAAAAACTTTTACTACAAAAGTTGTAGCAAATTGTATCCTTAACACAATGGTCTGTAACACTTTTGCTCCCAGATGCATCAATGTGGAGAATTTTTCAAATATATGAAAATTAGAAGAGTGTTAAAAAAAATCGGTATCCAGAGCATGATACCGAAAAACTTTTACAACAAAAGTTGTAGCAAATTGTACTCTTAACACAATGGTCTGTAACATTTTTGCTCCTAGATGCATCAATGTGGAGAATTTTTCAAAAATATGAAAATTAGAAGAGTGTTAAAAAAAATCGGTATCCAGAGCATGATACCGAAAAACTTTTACTACAAAAGTTGTAGCAAATTGTACCCTTAACACAATGGTCTGTAACATTTTTGCTCCCAGATGCATCAATGTGAAAGCCGTTCTTGGCACCAAAACATACTCCATCATGTTGCTTAAGCATGTTCTGAATCTTAAATTGATATCCCAAAAATCTAGTGTTGTCTGAGTTGTTGAACAAATGTCTGCTGGAGCAGTTTTTCTAGAAAAATTCGAATAACTCGAGAACGGCCGAATTAAATTGTAAAAAGTACAGACAAATCCAAATATGTAAAAATATACACGGAGTTCCATTTAAAAAAAATACATTTTGTATATGCGAAAATATTTTCCAGAAATACACTCATATATATAGTACAAGTCTGCGTTTGATAGGAGCTATGGATGCCTGACGCACTGTTGCAAGACCCTGTATGTAATGTATATCTATAAACAAGGCTTTCACGTGCTTTTACATACGCACGCGTACTTATATCAGAAAAATAAGGACTTCCCCGGCGTCTACTGGAAACTGTATGTACATCATATTCCAGTTCCTTTCAATTAGAATCAAACTGTGATCTAACTCATTCATATTTCCACTGATAGCGGCATTACAACAAAAAGAGAGATATGATAATAAGAGATTACAAATGGACCGCGTTATATATCACTTGACTAAGCGACATTTTATCGTTTTTAGAGATTTTCCTGCTGTCTGGTAGGTAAATGTGTAACTTATCTTAGAAAAAATGCAGAATACCGAAAGACCTAAAATACTGTTTGTTTTAAAGGATAAAGCTAAGCGTCTTCAGACGTACGGCTAAACCCGTATATTTCTAGTTCTAGGTCTAGTGTTAGTACTAGTTTTACACTAGCACTATCACTAAAAGATAGAATCATTCATGTTTAGCCGCCTTAAGAGACGTGGGACTAAATCCGAATATTTCTAGCTCTCGGTCTACTGTTAGTTCTAGTGGCACTGGTAGGTTGCGCTAGTTAGCATAAGATATTACTATGTTGTATATTTTTATTGAACTAAACATATAACGAGAACTAGAAACATTCGGGTTTAGTCGTGAAAAAAACTTTCAGTTGTCAATGTCAACTTTAATTTTATTATTATATTCGTAATCTTAATTAAGTGAGTCCAAACTTGACGCATTTACATATCTCAAAAAACCAAAAAGTTCGAACTTTCAACTTTTAATTTTGACATATTTGTCAACTTCATAAAAAATCCTATTATTATTTGCATTAACTTTAATATTAATGCGAATACAATCACTTCCGGTTTGGAACGTCAACGTCAATACTGACATACATATTTACTATCTTAATTAAAAACCCATTAAAATTTGATCTATAACTCATTACTCAATTCTCATAAATAAAGTAAGAGCGATTTTTTTAATTTCAACCATTTTTTAATTAAAATATTTGAAGTTCTAAAATAGAGTTTTCAATTTTATGGATTTTCTCAAAATTTGACATATACAACATATACATTATTATACATCATCTCAAAGAAGAGAATTCATGCTTTAATTTGATGTATAAATCATTACTTAATTCTCAAAAATAAAGTGAAAGCGATTTTTTGAATTTCAACCATTTTTCAATGAAAAACATTTTAACTCCTAAAATAGATATCAATTTTTTTGATTTCCTCAAAATTTTATACATACAACACATACATTATTATAGCTATCGTAAAGTAGAGAGTTTAAGCTTTAATTTGATATATAACTTATTACTGAATTCTTATAAATAAAGTAAGAACGATTTTTTGAATTTCAACCATTTTTTAATTAAAACATTTTAAGTCCTAAAATAGAGTTTTCAACTTTTTTGATTTTCTCAACATTTTATACATACAACACATACATTAATATACATCATCTTAAAGTAGAAAGTTCAAGCTTTAATTTGATATATAACTCATTACTCAATTCTCATAAATAAAGTAAAATGATTTTTTGAATTGCAACCATTTTTTAATTAAAAAATTTTTAAGTCCTAAAATAAAGTTATCAATTTTTTTGATTTTCTCAAAATTTTATACATATAACACAGATTATTATACATCATCTTAAAGTAGAGAGTTCAAGCATTATTTTGATATATAAATCATTACTTAATTCTCAAATATAAAGTAAGAGTGATCTTTGTCAATTTGTCAACGTTAACTTTAATTTTATTATTATATTCGTAATCTTCATAAAATCACCTTTAAAGTGAGTCCAAACTTGACGCATTTATCTCAAAAAACCAAAAAGTTCGATCTTTCAACTTTTAATTTTTGACATAATTATCAACTTCATAAAAAATCCTATTTAAAATGGGTCCAAATTCGACATATTTAACTTAAATATTAATGAAATATAATCACTTCCGGTTTGAAACGTCAACGTCAATTTTGACATATTTGTCATCTTCATTAAAAAACCTTTAAAATGAGTCCAAAGATGACTTATCTCAAAAAACAAAAAAGTTTGAATAAAAAAGCATTAAAACTAATTAAATATTAATACCAACCTTAATTTTTTATCATTTTTTAATATATTTTTGTTTTTGTGACAAATATTAAAACATTTTATAAAAATTAAGAATATGTCAAAATGACATTGACATTTCAAACCGGAAGTTGTTTATATCTCGAGTAATATTGAAATTAAACGTATCATGTTTGGACTCATTTTAAAGGATTTTTCACGACGACTATAAATATGTCAAAATTGACGTTGACATTCTTAACCGGAAGTTGACCATAACTTTCTTAATATTGAAGATAAATATGTTGTGTTTGTACTCATTTTAAAGGATTTTTAATGAAGATTGCAAATATGTCAAAATAGAGGTTGACTTTTTAGACCTGAAGTTAGTTATCATGTAATAGAAGTTTTATAACTGAAGTTAATCTAGTGTTAGTCACTTTTCCGAACTTTCTTTTTATTTTTAACGTGTTTTTTTGGGGCATTTCACATTGATTAAAAAAAATCGTCGATTTTTAAGCCACATGGTGATTCTTAAATTTTTCCCAAGTTTTTTAATATTTCTTTTGTTAAAAAAGAACACTTCGTCCTTAATTTCTGAAGACGGTCAAGGGCCGAAACTGGTAACAGTTTAAGTAAACATACTATTTCATCTACATAAGAAGTGCTGATAACCTAGTTTATTTCAAAAATGCATATGATATTTAAAATTATCTTAAATAAATACCCCTAATATTCCTATTTTATCTAGATCTTTGCAAAGTTACAAAAATGAATATGTAAGTGTTTTCTCTAAAGCGTGATTATTAGGACACCTTTATAACAATAAAAATCATCGTTTAAAAGTAATAGAGCTTGTTCGGAATTGTTATTAAGTAAGTCATTACGAAATAAATTAGAATTGCTAATTGCACTATTTAAGTAGAACATAAATAATGGAAAAAAACTCCATTTTTATGCAATAAAGTGTCATAATATTATAAAACGAGCAATTAATATTATTTATTTTTTAAATTTTTATCACTAAACGTTTAGATAAGATAAACCCGGATAGCATTCGTATTAATTGGCAAAGAAGGAGTGGTTTTAAAATATTAGAGAAATGTTCTGGCCGGCGTAATAATAAAAGCGGCGTAAATCAATGAAAAACGACGCGCCGCGACGATGTAAAATTGAGCGTGGCAACAAGTTGCTGTAAAATCTGTAAATAGTCATTCGTCCTCGAGTTTGCGCATTGTCAAGTAAACACAAATTTCGAACAGAAAAAATCGTTTAGAAAAAGAAACAACAAACGAAACCTCGTCGATCATTACAAAAAAGATAGTATCCAAACCCAAAAATAGATCGGAGCTAATGTAAAGATATAGCTGACGCGATGTTTTAAATTTTCGTTTAGTACTGACGTTTTTTTTTTGTAAATTTTTTCTTTCGTTTCCGGCGCCTTGATAAGCGCGGTTTTCCTGGTTGTGATTAAAATTGAAAAATTTTTAATATTCGTTTATAACTAAACTGAAAACGTAAACGTTTTCACGTTTTGAAACATGCCTATCCCAGATTCGCGCGTCGCGAGTTGAATGAGACTGCGTCCTGTTGAGGCCAGTCAGAATCGCGGCTCGAACCTCTCTGACACATGAAAACATAAATCTTATAAACCAATTATTTAAGAATATATTTCAATTAAGACGGTATACAATAAAGTTTAAATAAATAAAACACTCGACTCAGTGATTACATGTGCGTGACAATTCGGAAATAGTTTTCAAGACCTTGAAAATGATCATCTAACCTTCATTAAAATTTTATTGATTTAAACCTAGGTAATGAAATAAAAAATTATTTGTGTTTGAAAAAAGTGAAAATGGATCTAAACAAAACAGACAATTTTTTAAAAACTCCTGTGCCGGTTTCAAAATCGCCAATAAATTCACCATCAATTCGCAATATGACTCAAACAGTGATTGTATCATTAGATGAAACTGTGATACACAACATCACTTATGGTAAGTTTTCAAAATAAATAATAATAAAAGAATTTTTTTAATTTCATTCTACTTTACATTCACTTTGAGTGTGGGTGGGCGCCGCATTCTTCACCATTAAAATCTCCTATTTTGTCTAAACCACTGGTTAAACGAACTCGTTTGCCTCGGTTAAACGCTTATTTCGACGGTCCCGTTCTATTCTTAACAATAGATTAATTATATAATAAGAAACGAAGCGTCTGTAAGATTGAAAACATACAATCTGTGCGTGTGCGCTTAGAAAAGGAAAGGATAAAAATATTTCCTTTCAGAAACTGAAACAGGTTGCTGTTTTCATGTGTATTGTATGTTTGGTTGCCTATATTTTGTGTAATATAACCATGTTTTTGTTGTGAAATCATTTAAAATACCCACATGTTCTTGAATAAACTTGTGAAATAATAACAATCCTGTTTATGGTTTAGTCATCTGTGTAAAAAATGTGATTTTTAGGATTAATTTTATCATTTCTTGTAAATTTCCATTGATTTAAAAAAATTTATTTAGAGACGTGGCATCCCAGCCACGTCTCTAAATAAATTTTTCGAATTTCAACTTTCATACCACCTTGTGGACGAGCGTCCAGAAAGTCTGTTTGACCTTGGGATACCATCACTTGCAATTTTCGGCAATCTATTGTCATCCATCCGCTCAACATGGTCCTCCCCATGGTCTGGTTCGGGATGTCTTCGCTTCTTTTATGGTCCCTCAGGGTGTAGCCTGCTATGAATCGTAGGGTCTTCATTTCTGCTGTTCGTATGATTCTCTTTGTTGTAGAGCCCTTTCAGCCCTTGTTTTCACAGCATAAGTCATAACAGATCTTACGCAGGTTTTGTATTTGTGGATTTTACTTTGTATGGTCATGTGCTACTTGTGATGCTGACGACGAAATATTTAAAACTCATGATCTGCACCACCGTTTTATTGCATATCGTCAGTTTGTCTTCTCGGCTCTTTCGATATGGATTTTTAAAATTTTTACAAATAATAGACTTATAACAGACTTCTTCATTCATCTTCATTTTGACTAACTCGAAAACGCAATCGTGATTTATATCAATATTTGAGCTAAATGAATCAACCAGAAGAGGAGCTTTACTTGGATACGCATTGAATCGTATAACATCCTGTGTTTAAATAAAGATAAACGATTAGTTACCCAGGGACTTCTGCGTACGTACTTAATCTATCAATGTGACAAGCGAAAATTTGTAAAAAATATAACTTAAACCTAGAGGTGGTGGAGAAATATGTTATGCATGAATATTAATAAACCAGAAAATGATATCCATTTGAAAAGATTTACAGAAAGTCAATTGAATTGGTTCTAACAATCCTTGAACAACAAAGAATTATAGTCGCATTGGATGATCAGCAATTTCTAATTCTTGTACTGTCCTATTTTTGGATATTTCAAAATGTCTTCCTATGTCATTAGTTTTAGGAAAACTATGATCTAGTACAAACTCTAAAAGCTTTCTGCAAGTTCAGATGTACGAACAGCCTTAACACAGTATCTGGATAATATTAAGTTGTGATAATACCTAACTTAATAAATTTTATATAAATAGCTTCCTTTTCAAAAGAAATTTGTCCAGCAAAAAATCGTCCAATTTTAACATTTTGTAATTTATACTATATCACTAGAAACTGGTGATAGATAAATATGAAATAATTATGGATTATGATTTCTGGGTGCATTGGGAATATTTTTTATTCATAACGTCTTTCTCCATCACTTCTGATACTCACGTTATAATTGATTTTATTAAAAAAAGACGTCCAATTTTGACATTTTATGATTTATGCTATATCACTAGAAACTGGTGATAGATAAATATTAAATAATTATGGATTATGATTTCTTGACGTATTAAGAATATTTTTTATTCATAACGTCTTTCTCCGTCAGTTTTAGTACTTATATTATAGTTGATTTTATTAAGAAAATAGTCCAACTTTGACATTTTATAATTTATGCTAAATCACTAGAAACTGGTGATAGATAAATATGAAATGATTATGGATTATGATTTCTTGGTGCATTAGGAATATTTTTTATTCATAACGTCTTTCTCCATTAGTTTTAGAACTTACGTTATAGTTGATTTTGTTAAGAAAAGTCGTCCAATTTTAACATTTTATAATTTATGCTATATCACTAGAAACTAGTGATAGATAAATATGAAATAGTTATGGATTATGATTTCTTGATGTATTAAGAATACTTTTTATTCATAACGTCTTTCTCCATTAGTTTTAGAACTTACGTTATAGTTGATTTTGTTAAGAAAAGTCGTCCAATTTTGACATTTTATGATTTATGCTATATCACTAGAAACTGATGATAGATAAATATGAAATAATTATGGTTTATGATTTCTTGATGCATTGGGAATATTATTTATTCATAACGTTTTACTCCATCAGCTTTAGTACTTACTTTATAGGTGATTTTATTAAGAAAAATCGTCTCATTTTGACATTTTGTGATTTATGCTATATCACTAGAAACTGGTGATAGATAAATATGAAATAGTTATGGATTATGATTGTTTGATGGATTAGGAATATTTTTTATTCATAACCTCTTTCTCTATCAGTTCTAATACTTAGGTTATAAGTGATTTTATTAAGAAAAATCATCTAATATTGATATTTTATGATTTATGCTATATCACGGTTAAGTTGTAACAGGTATTTGGAACTATAACTCTTTAGGAACACAAATATATTGTACCTGTTCCCCAAAATTCCTAGTTTATAACATCTCTAATCGTCGCAATCATTATGAAATTAATAACCAAATTCAAGTCTTAAATATGACTTAACTCCATAGTAACTTTCTCTGAGAAACAGTTCAACTTTTAGAAAAGTAGTAAGAAACGGAGAATTTATAAAATTTTTAGTCAGTTATAGGCAACCCAAACGGTTAATGGAATTGTTAATAAGGAAACTGTAAAAACATATTTACAAAATAAAATAAATTTAAAACGAAAAATATTTCGAAATAATTAAGTGTGTAAATTATAGAAATTTTCTTTAAGATAACCTGTCCTTAAATACATTTCCTTCAAATATTTATGTATTGCTTTATATGTTCATACTAAGAATTAGTGAAAAACATGTTTTCATCATGTCTGTCTTTGCATAAAACAAACCGCATTTCTAAAACCCATAATGAAAAAGCATAAAATTTGTTAATTATTTAAAAAATGTTATTTTCTATATTTTATTTTCATATTTACTTTCTATATTATTTCGGATTCCATTAAAGCGAAATCTATTAATAACTACTTAGACATTGTTATATTTACCGATTTAACTCGCTTACACCAACTAACTTTATAAATAACAACAGTGTTTCTATTTTTATCTTCCTTGTTTACTCCATCGTGCATACCACGTTCCATTTTGGTACTTAACAGTAAACGCTTTTATCTATATAACCCACATAATAATAATAATTTATCTGTGTTGATGAACTATAAGGTTAAATAAATTATTATTCAGTGATTTTTCAATATCAGCAAAAATTATTATTATTATTAAAAAATCAATTGCAAGTAAAGTAAAAAAAATATATATTATATAGGTATATGTAAAAATTAATTATGTTTTTTTATGCATTTTTGGAATTTTTATGAATTAATTATTTATTGTAATTTACATTATTTACTTATTGCAAATATTCGTTTCTCTTCAAATAATTCAAAAATAATTTATTGCAGTTTTTTGTTGGTTTTTATAGTGTATAATACGCTTATTCAGCAGTGCTACTTTAGGACCGTATTTCGGGCAGGATGCCAACAGCTCTCCAACAAGAATGTCCTTAGCTGCTAAATGGGAGCATCGGTATTCTTTGTGTTCGTTTTATTCATTTTCCTATTTATTAATAAATGAAATTAAGATATAATAATGTAATCTTAAAATTATAATTTTTTTGTAATGATACTAATAAAAAATAAATGTTATTTTCTTTATGTCTAAAATTAAACGGTTATTGTTTGTTTAACGTTGTTAATCTCGTTTGTTTTTTGCGGTGTTAAAAAAATTATAGGTTTTATATTGAAATAAATCAACAAAATTATTAAAAATGAGGTCAGAAATGTTGAAGAACAACGTTACGATTATGTGAGTCACATTAGTGACCCAGTTTCTTTACTGGACTTAATTTAGCAATGAATTTATTAAAATATTGTTTTAACTTTTCTTTTTATGGAATGTTTCATAATATTTTGACAATTTTTAGCAGAATGATATCGATCTACTAGCCTAATTGTAACAGTTTTCAATAACAGTATCTAATATGTTAACAGCACTGAACTGGAATAATGTGAACCGGGCATAATAATTATAGCGAAAGTTCTTATGCAACACCATTGCATGTCTTTGACAAACAATTAGGGATGTCAAAGGTGTATCGATAACTAAAGTATCCCTGATCTAATTTCTAAAAGGAAACTTTTATGGTATTGCTTCGGTTTGTAACACCTATGAGAAGGACTCTTGGACTTCCACTGTGGCTGAAGAGGGTAATAGTAATCTATGAATTTCTGGAAGAGCAATGGGAGAATTTTACTAGCATTTGATAACTTGTGATAAAACTCTGCGATTGTCTACACCTGCTACATCAACCTTTCCTTTTACATTGCAAAGCCATAAGATAATTCAATCCCATCTACACAATTCCTTCATTACCTAACTCAATACAACGCAATTATTAATTTCTAAAACCTAATCCATCTCACCCGATTCAACTGCATCCACAAATCAAATAATTCTCAAATACAAACCTATATCCAACCTCAAATCAATATTTAGAATCAATAATTTCAAAAACGTCAACTTCATCCCATCCCAATGCAAATATTTTTAAAATCCATTGTCCTTACATCATTTTTACCTTAGTCATGATAAGAAGTATTCCTAAAGAAACCTCAACTCAACCTAACCTATAACGAACCCCAGTTGTAACACCAATTTTACAAAATCTGCGTCAAATATAATCTAAACATAATCTGTGCAAAATCAATCCTAATCTCAAGTTGAGATTCTCAACCACAGCATAATCATTAATTTCTAAAAGGAAGCCCTCAAACTAATCCATCCTCCATTCAAACCTTACGTTTCTGAAGTCAAACAATAATTATTAATGTAAATAAAAAACTTTGCTTTTCAGAAGGGTATCTTTTATTTTCGGCTCTACCGGTTTCGACTAATTCTTTCTAGTCATCTTCAGGAGCAATAGTCACGTCTGTTATACTTTTAATTTTCGAAATCTGGAATCATCTCTTCTTTCATCAGTACTTTCTTAAAAAAGATCTTTAAAAAGATAAAGCAACCATTACTAATAATAACATTCAACGTGAGCTAAAAATAAGGAAAAACATAAAAATAGAGAAAGTTTTAACAACATTTAAGAACGAATAATTCAAGAAAGTACTGATGAAAGAAGAGATGATTCCAGATTTCGAAAATTAAAAGTATAACAGACGTGGCTATTGCTCCTGAAGATGACTAGAAAGAATTAGTCGAAACCGGTAGAGCCGAAAATAAAAGATACCCTTCTGAAAAGCAAAGTTTTTTATTTACATAATCTAACAGGATGGGAAGTAATAATATTAATAATAATTATTAAAACTTTAATCCCATTCGAAACTAATTTTATACCCTCTTGGATCTAATGTATCCAAAATTCAATCATAAATTCAAATGCAAGCAATAATTCGTAAACCTTCATCATAACTTAACCTATTTTCATTTCCACCTGAAGTGGATCAAGTAATAATTCCCCACACCCTATTACCCTCTCAAATCTACATAATTTATATTCAAGCACAACTTAATCTAATCCTCCATCTAACCAATAGTTACCAAAACTTGAAACCTATTCCCACCCAACTTGATCCAGTTCTTACCCAACCAAAACCTAACATTTTCAAAATCGATTTTTAAGTGTAAACACAATATAGCTCGATTAAATTTAGAGTTCCTTAATTCAAAACAATTTTTTTATTATACTGTAGATTTGTGGACTAATGTATCTACTGCGGCAAAAATGATTTTCAAACATTTTTGATCTGTAACTCTTATGGTCTATATCCGTTTCACCTTGATTATAAAAACCTCTCACTCAGCAACTGTTATACTGCGTATCTTGATTCACCCCGACCACATTTGCTCTAAAATATCATTTCCAAAATAACACTCATAAACAGTTTCCAAAACCCCAACCCAACCCAAGGTAAGCAATAAGTTAGTATGGGACGAACTTTATCCATCAAGAACAACTTATTGACATGGTCATCCAAACTTCATATTTTCTAAAACCCTAATCTCAAACACACCATAAGCCAAACAATAACTTCCAAAATCCCACTCTAAACCAAAATCCAAACCTAACCTCAAACGCAACTGAACCCAAGTTCTATAATTTTTAAATCAGCAACCTAATTCAAACCAATTTAATTTCATTCCCGAACGAATATTCTCAACCCCACCCAATAAGTTTAAACAATCAAATTTAAAGCAAAACCCATGTCAATATTAGTCCTCGCTCAATCAATTTCTTCTTCTTCCTTTTAGCAGGGATTTCCCCTGTTCTCTCCGTCTATTACTGTTTGTTCTGTTCTATCTGGCTTCCCTACTATGTATTTAGTTTCATTGAGAGAAAGTATCACTCACAAAATTTTAATTTTTAACCTTGAACCTAGAGATCATGTTCAAGGTGTTGTACTGTTTCAACGAATTACAAATTCTTTTTGTGCTTTTTGACAGACTTCGTTCTACATGTTCAAAAAATTCTTTTATTTCATTCATCAAAGTTTACTGAGCAGGACGCACGAAATATAAGACTTGAATATTCAAGTATTTTTATTCAAGTAATTTTATCGTTCTAAGACAAACCATATTGAAAATATTTAACACGTTGGCTGCCACCATACAACCAATTAAGTAATTCCCTAGGGGCCACTGTAAAAGAATGGTACACTTGAGTTTCTTTTTTGAAAAACGACATCTTTTTACATGTAAATGGTATATATGAGGATAGAATGCAAAAAAAATGTGAGTGATCCGGTGATTCTCATGGCACTGCAGTAACAACTGTTTTACTTTAGTGCCATGAGGATCACCAGGATACTCAAGTGCAATAAATCTTGAATTACAAAAATTATCTTTATTATCTTTGCATTTTCAATGAAGTTTTGTAAAACATGGAAGACACATATACTTGTCACAAACATGACATCTTGTAGAAACTAATTTTCCTTGTTTTTGTGCCACTGAACGTCCTTCTTTTGCAGCTTCTGCGTAACAATTTGTACATCTTCTTCTTTTTTTGCCGATTGTTGTTATCCTTTTCTTCACTTTGCACTAAGCTGTGCTTCAGGGAATCTGAACGTTTTGGTGTAACGTCATTCTTTTCAACACCTAGCATCTCAAGCACAAGCATCTCCCTGAATGAGGCAATATGAATTTTACTTTTGTGAAAATGATTGTAAATGAAAAGCGCATTGACTACAGCAGTAGAACCTCAAAAGCTACTTTGTAATATCATCTGATGGTTTTTCTCAAGGACGTAAAATAACTTGACATTTGGTCGGAAAGGTTTATCCCTTGCTTGCCCTTGTTGTATTCTAAAACAGCAACTGGCTTACAAACTTCCTCGCCCAACCTGTTTTTTCGTCCAGTTGTCATCTTTTCCAAAGTATGTTTTGTACTTAGGAAGTTAACATTCCGTTTGTCCTTCCACTTTTCAACAACAATTCCTTTCGAATTTTGTTTACCAACCACTTCTTTTTTTAGTTTTTTTGACATGATATCCTGTGGTAAGTACTTTCTGTTCTTCCTTAGGGTATAATAATAATAATCACTTTATTCGGGCAATTTTATAATTACAATCTTGTGTACAATCTTGTGAAGTAATATAATATATAAATAATATACCTTATTCTGTACAAGAATAATTTTCAAAAGAAATAATAAAAATACAAAGACAAAATATTATAAAACAAATTTAATTTAATTATTGAGAAAAAAGCCCGAACATATAGGCGGAGTTCAGGTCAACCCTGATCTTCCACTCAACCTAACAGAAAGAAAGACCGTAAAGAAAAAAAAACAACAAAACAAAGGAAAAAAGAAGAGGATACCAATTGCAAGGAAATAATGGAAACTCATAGAAGAATGAGAGATAAAATTTAAAAGTTAAAGGCACACATAGACAGTTAGCTACACACAGAAGCCCTCCGTCACCCATCCATCAGCCAACATCTCAATGCTCTTTTAAATCGGTTCAGGGGTAGTCCAATCAGGTGCCGAGGTAAATTATTGTATATGGTGTATATCTGATAAGAAAAACACCGTTTGAAAAATTCTGTACGGTGGGAAGGAGGTGTTAGTATCTAATAAATGAGTATCTCTCTGTAAAAGTGAAGTTGCCAATGGCACTGATGTATAAAAGTTATCCACTACTATAAGCCTTCCTTCAGATAAATATGACTCTGCAAGTTCCATAACTACTCTTTCAGCAAGTCCAGCAGACTGCAGTCCAGTAACTGTTTGTCCAGAATACAGTGACATGCTCAATGTATAATCAATTGGATTAGCGTCAGCCGTCGAATTATCAGCAAAATGAACGAATCTCAGCAATAGTTGAAATCTATGTCTGCTCATTACTTTTGGAATGATACAATTTTTGTATAAAATGCTGGTGGACCAATAATCAGCTATTTTAGGATACTTTACAAATCCCATATAAAGAAGGACAGCAAAAACTTCCACATTTCATCTTCATTGGTATCCACCCATTTTTTGATTCTGGCCAAGTTTGCAGCATTTTTATTTGTTCCGTGAACAATAACACTCAAAAGTTCTGCGTCAAAAAACTTCCAGTATATCTGCATAGCAGTTACACTTTCTCGATTTTGTGTATCAATGTCATCAATTTTATATGATTCTGAGCCTAAAAACTGTATATGAAGTGGTAATTTGTCCACACGTATCTCTTGCCATTATTCTGTTTCCTCTTGCTCAGCTTCCTCTTGAACTGACGTTTCAGGATCCACTTCATCCCCAGATTCCGATAACTCATCATCCACCTCAAATTCCGAGCAGGATGATGAGAATAAGCTTCCTTCAGAATCATCATCACTCTCAAGTGCGGCTGCAAGTTCATGTTCTTTCAATTTTTTTATAGGCCTACGTCTAGTTACACCACTAAGCCCAGGTTTGGAATCCATGATGAAATTTGTAATATTATAAATAAATTCTAATTATCACTTCAGCACTTGGTCGTTATAAACAACAGAAAGTGAAGAATATATTCAGGAACTAACCTCAAAACTGGTTTCGACTTGAGGATCTGCTTTGAATGCCCATATCTTAGCCATTTATGGGTTTAGACCAAATATTATTAGACTAATTATCATTTTAACTTTAGTATTTGTGATTAAAATTATGCCACGACATACAGGAACACCTGTATATACATTACAAACTTTAAAATAAATTAATAATTATTTGAAATATTCACAATTATCTATCTTCTATTCCCCTCTTTACTCAATTTTGTGATCAACTGTACATTTTTATTAACACATCATATTTTATGTACGATGTGTTTTTGTATGTGTAATATGTACATATTTTATGTTTGAATTACATAGATAAAAGCTTTAAAGAAATAATTTCAAATTGATAATGATTTAATTAAATTTTTGTTAGAAAGATAAATTTGTTACATTTTTATTAGAATTCCAAGCATTTTCTTTTTTTATTTAAAGTTATTTAAAAAATGTGGAATTCAAAGAAACTTGGAATTGGAATGAATTACAAGTTTCTGTTCACAGATGCCACCTCTACATTAGTTAGAAAGAGACGGTTATTTTAGGGTGGGAGTAGTTGGGGAACATGGAGGCCAAAAGCTGTTCGTATCGTCAGTTGCCGTTTGACTCGCGTAGAGTTCATGTAAATATTGTACTATTTTTTTATAACAAAAAAAAATCTAACATTTTTTTACCCCACATAAATGTATAAGACAAACTATATAAATCGTGAAATAAACAATTTTTCCTTCAAAGATTTTGAGTGAAAAAAATTGTGTTGTTAAACCATAGTTAACCTCAAAAACCTTTTTGACGTTTCGATTATAATGCGTGTTGTTTGTGATAACATGTGGTGACTTTTTGGGACAATAAGTACGATGCCCCCGCGACGATTTTATTATGCGGTCCTTACGTGATTTAAGGCCCATCATTTTACCTGCTTAAAAAAGGATACACTAAAAAATAAATAAAATAACTGTAACAACTTGGGGGGGATTTAACGCGGAGACTTTTAAATTTTCGCAATTCTTGCTCTTTGAACGGTGAATTTCGAATTGAGAAATTTCTTCTTCTGTAATCATGCGCTCGCACAAGGACACGAAGGAAAGTGGGTTTTTCGAAGGAGATTCCGATTCGGACGGTGGAAACATGGGGAAAGCCCTCAAAAGAACTAAAGTGTTTACTATTTCAAGTGATTACAAAAGAAAATTGGATAGAACTGAATATACAGCTGAGGAATTGGAAACACATATTAAACAAACTGATTATTCTAGAAAAGGTTAGTTTCATCAATAATCATTTTTTTAGATATTAAGGTTTAAAATCAACAAAGAATTTGATATAAAAGCCATTAATCATTAATTTTTTATTGTTTATTATAATTCATTTATCGACGTTGTTATCTAAAATTAAATATTACAAGTTTTTATTTTTTATTATGAAAGAATCTTTCATCCTTTGGTGACACATCATATTTATCATGTATGTATCAGCAAGTAATTTAAATATACAAGATGAATTTTTGAAAGTTAAAGAAAAAAACGTTCTTAAAGAGAATGGAAAATTCGAAGAGATTGTTTACTTTTTTTTTCAATTTTTTTTTTTTGTCTACATACCAGGAAAAGTTTGTTTACGTTACTAAACGCGGTTTTATAAAGCCATAATTACGACGTGATTGGTTGATAGGCGCTTAACTTGATGATGTGATTAAATTTTGATCTGGTTTTATTAAACCCGACCACACCATCCAACAAAAATGTTATGATGCACAAAATAAAGATCATTAACCCAACATGTCCCAAAGCTCTACAACAATTGTATAGCTTTTGTGTTAGAATTTATATTTTAAACATAAACAGACATAATTGACAGTTAATAGGCGGTTAACTTGATAATGTGATTAAATTTTGATCTAGTTTTATTAAACTCGGCCACATCATTCAACACAAATGTTATCATGACCAAAATAAAGATCATTAACCTAACATGTTCCGAAGCTCTACAACATCATCGTATAGCTTTTGTGTTAGAATTTATATTTTAAACATAGACAAAATTGACAATTAATAGGCGGTTAACTTGATGATGTGATTAAATTTTGATCTAGTTTTATTAAACCCGGCCACACCATCCAACAAAAATGTTGTGATGTACAAAATAAAGATCATTAACTTAACATGTTCCGGAACTCTACAACATTACTGTATAGTTTTTGTATTAGAATTTATATTTTAAACATAAACAGACATAATTGACAGTTAATAGGCGGTTAATTTGATGATGTGAGTAAATTTTGATCTAGTTTTATTAAACCTAGCCACACCATCCAACACAAATGTTATCATGCACAAAATAAAGATCATAACATAACATGTTCCGAAACTCTAAAACATTATTGTATACTTCTGACATAATTGACAGGAGAAAAGCTAATGCAGAAGAATTGAACATAGATTAATCATGAATGGACCTTTGAAGAAAGGACAGTTTATGAACCACGTCTTCTTTCACAATATGGTTTTTGCATGATTTCTAAAATAGGATCGTAAATAAAAGTTTTTTTTAAAATAGTTGTTTCAATTATTCATTTTAAACAGATTTATGAGTAAAAAACTCTTAAACTCAAGAAAATAGCAAAATAAATTAATAATTCTTCAAAATTGTTCCATTGCAACCTCACAAAAGTGATCGTACTGTTCCAAATGTTGCAATGAACGATGAAATCTGCATTCGCTTTTAGTACATCTTTCAATCTTCCCGGCATTGATTGCACAAGCTTTTCAGTATAAGAAATCGGATTTTCCCAATTCTGCTTACAATGCAACTTTTAACGATTACTTACTACCAATGTTGCGTTTTCTAATTCATTTTTGTGAATTATCCCAATGAGAATGTGCGCTAAACTACTTGCGCTGTATGTTTTGGGTCTTGATCCTGTTAGAGAAGATGCAACTGTTTCCAAGACCCAATTGTATAGCATGTTGTTTTAAATTTGTCTTTAAAATATTTACTTAAACATTGCCATTTGTGCATTATATTATCGATAAAAACTAAACTCCCGACTCCTGTAGCAGCCATAGATCCCCACAGCATAACAGATCCACTCTCATACTTAACTGTTGGTAGAAGATTTTTTAAATCTAAGGCTGTACCGGGTTTCCTTCAAATTTTACCTCTACTATCACATCCAAAAATATTGTATTTTGACTCGTCTGTAAACATCATCCTTTTCCAAAAATCCATATCCTTTTCTTTGTGCATTTTTGCAAATTCAATACGTTTCTTGCTATTCACGTCGCTAATGTAGGGTTTCTTTCGCGGCACTCATCCGTTATAGCCGGCTGATCGCAAAACTCTTCTCACAGTTTCTACACTTACAGCTTTATTAACATGTACGATGACTTTTGGGACTGACTGTATATCTTTCTGTTACGTATTCATCACAGTTATTTGCTTTCTTCATCGGTTAATGATAAACTCGATGATGACATTACCCTTAACACAATTAAATTAGAATTTGCAAATTTTTACAATATAATTTAACACCCCTTTCTGCAGCATCACTCATAACAACTGTCTTAACAAGTTTTTTTTATCCCACTTTTATAAAGGGGATCATCCTGTCGTATTGAAGGGTCTTTGTTGAGGTTAAAAACTCGTTATTTGTAAAGGAAAAAAACATTTGGTGGAGTTTATAACTTTTTAGTTGATTCTCTCTCTCCTTCCTGTTCTTCATTGTTATCTTCCTGTAATACAATTTTAGCCATAATTGTCTTAACTATGATTGCAACTTTGTCGTTAGTATGGATGGTATAAAAATTTGAAAAAAAAATCTTTTCTTCCCCGTTGTGACGAACTAGGTATGTAATTAAGTTGTCATTTTACTAGTCTACGACAAATTGTTCTCAAACAATAAGTGACTAGTTAATCTATCAACTTAAACAACATCATATTTGCTTGGAAACTAAATTAACGAAGTAAATAAGAGAAAAACAGATGATCAACCTTGATGTTGCCAGGTTTCCGATTGTTGGCGCATCATAAAGGATTATGTACCAATCTATGCTGCACTTGCACATGGTTCTATAGATGTGTGAGGTACATTTTGTTGAGATTCTGAGACCTCTAACTGATAAGGATCTAAAGTTGTTAACGTAGCTTTTAACTTTATCTTCATTTTGATTGTATGAGTAGAGATCTTTAGGACTCTGTTTCATGTTACTTCTAAGACTTTCAACTCAAAAATTTATTAGAACAGAATTATGGATATCGTGGCAGAAAGCATTGTATAGCAAAAAGGAGATAACAATGATTTTTCAACTTTACCAAAGGATAGCGATTCGAAAGTAACTGATTTGTCACAGTGAGCAAATTGACCTTTATGATAATGCCTCATTTGGAAATTGTAACAATTTGATACAACAATGGATTTACTAATCGGCTGTGACTCGAAAAGCTACAGCAATGATATGGCACTATACACCATTGGGATGTTCTTTGTAGCGCAGATTGCAATGGATGTTTTCCAGTGTTACGGAAATTATTGAGTCGTTTGGAAAAAGTTAATGATGTTCACTTTTAAGAATAACGAATATGACATTGATCGCAAATATATATTTCTGAAGAAATTTGAAGATACCTTAAATGTAAGGCAACATGATCAAATCCACCTGTCATCAACCTGTCTTTTTGCCAATTTTAAGTGCCAAGTGGCTGTTAAATATGACAGTGATCGTTTATAGTTGGAAAACTTCACAACCTCTATTTTAATTTGCGATAAACGCAATTTCGTGGATTGTATTTTGGAATTATCACAATGATTTGATCAGAAGTGTACCTAAACCCAATCGTTAATACACTCTACAGACATTTTATGTCATATATACAACGTCATTGAGAAATATGTACTGAATATGTACATCAAGATTTCTTTCATGATTAAAGCTAAATTGTAAATTGCAAGGGAAGAAATCAAAATAAACAACATGCTATGACGAGGATGATAACTTCGTTCATCTAATGATTCTTTGCTTGCTCCAATCGATCTCCAACAACTAGTACTGGTAGTTTCTTCATAGACTACATCGCAGCTTTCTGTTATGATGTTGATTTCTGTTAATATGACTTAGCCACTGAGCATGATGATCTTAAGAATTATATTAGTAAAAACTGTGAACCCATTCAGTACAGACTTTTAAGTCTTATTTTTAAACTAATACTTTTCTTTCGATATGCATTATCAACAGCATGATTTTATGACAACTATAACTAATTTAACTGAAGTAACGTAGTTAATCAACGAAAACATAGATAAAGGGCAACAGGTTGTTCATAACTTATACCGACCTCATAAAAGTGTTTGACAAATTAAATGATGTAATATTTCGTTCTAAACTATACAGTCTTAAATTTACCAGCGATCATCTTGATTTGATTTCATCCAATTAACTGGTTAAAACTGTACACAGAGAGGTCTAAAAACTGAATGTGTTGAAATTTGCAATGCTGAGGAACAATAATTACAATTTTGTAACTGTTGAAAATCATTTAGCCATCCTGGCAAACACCTTTGAAAAGTATTACTTGGTTATGACAAATCCATGGAAAGTTATGAATAGCCTTGATGATCATTTTAAAATGTTTGGGAATATAAGTAGTCAAATTCCATTAGGGTGCGATACAAGTTGGGAATCGCCGATTTAAGTATTCAACTTTATATTTTCCGGGTAATACCAGATATCTGGAAGCTTGCAACATCAAACTTAGACCGGAGGAGATCGACTTATGTAGTGTTTTGATAACTAGCTAATCAAGAAAAGTCATTCTTGTCTCGGTCTTTATGCAAAATTTGATATGGAGATTCTAGCTGTTTAAGATACTCCGTGTCTACATTCTTAAGCAGAAACAGCAGTTCAAATGATAGACTTGGAACGTAGTTATCAAGAAAGTAATCCATGACAATTTTGTCTAAATCAAACTGTGGGGGCTCAAAGTTTTGTTTATATGATTTTCGTTTTAGGAATAGAATAAAATTTATCAAAATTCTTAAATTCTTTGTTATTAAAATATTGTTTTTACGGTCTAAACAAAAAAAAGGGATTCCTTTGTATTTATTTATAAAAATAAGTTGATAACTAAACGTAGAAATAACTTGGAATATCCTGTTAACTTTTTACGTACCATAACAAAAAAAAAATAACAAACATGTTTATTTTGAATAAAAATTAATACCACAACGAAGCCTTCAAAAGTACGTTAAAAAGATGTAATTTTAAACCACAACTATTTTGTATTAGTATTTCAATATTATTTGACGTGCAAACAAATACAAAATAAATTAATATCTTATTAATATTGTTTACAAAAAAATTATTATTGAATTTAAAATCCGTCCTTGAATGAGTCCCAAAAATTATTAGCCTCGTCTTGAATCATAAATATTTTGTTACCGGACAAAGTCTCTCGATATTTTAAAACGTTTTTAGTGGACGCTAATGGCGTTCAATAAAGAAACTTTGAGCTGTTTACTTCTTAATGGTTTTTAAATTACCTGTAAATGTAGTTGTAAAATAGATGTTTACGATCGTATTACAATCTTGGAAATGATAAAATATTAATTAGATTAAAATTATTAATAAATTTATGATATGTGAGTAAAATATTTTCAAGCTGAACTTTGAATACTTGATAAATAGTGAAAATGTATTCGTTATCGACGACAAAAGGATACATGCATGAAATCAAAAACGTTTATTGTATTAATTAACATGTTGTTTTCGCTTATTAATGTAAGAGAAAACAAAAAATATGAGAACAACAAGTTGTTATAAACGTTCTCAAAATATTTACCGAGTTTCACAAAAACTTTTCATTTCGTCCGGGTTATTTCGGCTTAAGCTTTATTTTTAGATCGTCCTGAAAACCGTGTCAATACAGATATCTTCTATTTATATAACATTCTCTACTAAACAACTGTAGATTCGGACTCGACTTTTGTCCATCTGATCTTTTCTTCTCTTTCAAACGTGCCGTGACCTTAATAACAAGAACCTTCGTGTGTACGTGTGTGGACGGTGTTATAATTGGACAGGTGTTCAAAATTGATTATACCAGGTGTAGAATGCGACAAGCTTGGAAAACCGAAACTAGATTTGCTTTTTATTCGCACCAAACATTAACCGAAAAAAGAGACTGATACAGACATGTGACATTAAATAATTAAGAAATTTACTAAATATTTAAATGATAAAAAAAGAGGTGTTGAGTTAAGAACCGTTTCCGTTGGGATTTTGAAATCGTAAATTTTAATCCTGTTTTACTAAGGTCTAAGTGATGAAATACGTTAGTTTGTAGTAAAAGAGGCGTAAAACTAAAAATGGATCTTTTCTGGTTTAAAAAGAATACTTTGTTAAATATTATGATTTTTTAAGTGTACAAAAATAAATCTTTATTGATAATAAAACCGCATTACTTTCTCGTTACCATAAAGAGATCCATGACTCATACTTTTCCTGTTATTCTTCCGATAGGTCATAAACGTTAAACATGTTTAATCACTTAATTAACGTGATCATTCCCAGAACTCCCCTTTATCACACACGGTGAAGTACCTAAATAATACGAAATGAAATGGTTTATTCCATGATTACAGTTGAAGATATGTCATAAAAAATCCCCTCCGAGGAAAAGGAATTTTTTTTCAATATTATTTTTTATAGGTTTTTTTATAGGTGCGGGCAACACGTCCAGCATAAATTCAGATGATATTTAATGCACAACCCCCAGAAAGTCTGTTTGGGGGAGAGTTGAGGGTGAATAACCCCGAGCAAATTTAACGGAGTACTCATAAAATACATCTTCTTTTTTTCTTTCTCAAATAAACGAGCGCAACAGCAGCTGATGGACTACAAAAACGAACTCGACCTTTGAGATTTTAACTGCAGCATTGACACACTTTGCCAACGTTGTTAATTTTATTTTGTTAACTTTGAACTTTTAATATTTTACTTGACATGCAGTTTACATCTCGTTTACACGAAAGAGAAAAAATGGGGTCCTCAACGTAGGGCTGTGCCAACCATAACGATAGAACCGGATTCGTAACCACAGCTGAGGAACGCCGAACACTTCCGGCAGTACATTAACCCCGCTCGGGTGCATGTTCGAACCCACAGCTTGTATCTTCCCCACGTCTGCCGCGTAAAATAGGGGCCGAAATATCATCTGCATACTTCAGCTTGAATGAAATTCGCTCGATATGCCCCTTTTAATTAAAACAGTACGTATGGAAAGGGGGGATGGAAAACGATGGCGTCTCGTATATATTATTTATGAAAACGTTACTTTAAGGCAAAAAGTCCGTGTTAAAAGTTTGACCGTTCTATAGGTAATCGTCATCTTTTATCTTGTCGAATATCCCTGGCCTTTCCGGTGGCAGAAAGTTTCTTCTACCTGGTCATGAAGACCGTGGATCTGTTTTTGGATAAAGGGCAACAGGGAGGGTTCTTGGAACTGTTGATGGTTTTGATTTTTTTCTTCAACGTTTTCAGTCTCAATGGCTTCCCTATTTTCGGTGGGGCTATAAAATTTGGGGTGTTTACTCTAAATGAGAATCGACAGATGCTGAGTGCATTAAACAAAAAACAGAAAATTTTAAATCTTTGTTTATTAATTAAGATTTTAAAAATTCGTTTTTATTTTTTTTTTACAAAATAATTCTTGTTTAAATTTTGTTTAAAGGTAATATGTAAAGTATCTTAATTTGCATTAAGATAGTATATACTTTAATTAATCATTAGCAACTTTTTTAATAATTCAACATAAAATTGAAAATTTCTATTAGTCATAGGCCACAAAATTAAAATATTAATATATACAGTGAAATTCCCCTAACTCGAATCGTATTGAATCATATATACTAGCGGAACTACTAAAACTAGAGGTAACACTAGCATTAGAACTAACACTAGACCTAGAACTAGAAAATTTCGGGTTTAGCCGTGTGTCTTCAGGCAGCATTCTAAATCTACAGACGCACTTTTACCGCATACTCACTTATAAACAGTATTGCATCTTTGTCTAAAGTTATTCAACCACCCTACATTAGGTAAAAAGTCTTCAACATCAAATTCTTTTCCGTTTCCCCAATTAGTGAAGCCGAAATTGGGCGATTTAGTAGGGCGATTTTTAGTAGGGGCAATCAACCACATCGTATACTGAACGTTATAAAGAGTGGAAAAAAAAATAAGAACTCTGAGATATCGACAATTTTACGAGCAGCGTGCGCTGTAACTTGAAAATAAAACAGCTCAGTGTGATGTGAACTCGCCACTAATTGCATATTTAAAGTGGTCTTTCGAAATTATCGGTTCTCGTTTAATGTGATAAACAACTTTGTATTTTATTCCGCGAAGTAAAATATTTCTGCGAATTATTTAACATTTATGTTGGTATATAAAATTTATATCTTGCTTAAAAACGTTCGTTTATAATTAATAATTTCAAAAATGAAATTAAATAAAATCGACATCATAACTCTGAAATTGTTCTAGTCACATTATCTCTCTTTTAAAATACAATGAGGCAGATATCATTGAACGCAATAATTTTGCAAACAATAGGTAGCAATTCAATTTCTCATGGTAACAAGGTCCAACTTTATTTATTTATTTTTTTATTATTTTCAACTTTCCATTCTCGCTTACGCTTTCCCCAGGATCGGATTCGAATTATTGCGGATAAAACTTACCAACAGCAGCTTTCGCCTCTTCGGATTAAACAAAAAAAATCCGCGCTGCTCGTTTCAACAACCGTAAACCATCGCACGTTGCGGAATCCAAGGTTCTTATTGTTTTCGTTTGCGATGGCGTAACGTGAAGGTCCACGTTTTATAAAACACCTTGAAAATGGTTCTTATGCAGTGTATTTACTATTTTTATTAATATTTTGTAAACAATGAATTATTGTTGAATAATTTTTTTTTAATATTATTTTCTTTATCATAAATAATTAATCCTCGTGTATTGAGTAACCTTCATTTGGAGAAAGAAATCAGTCTCGTACCCGATAAGATTTATCATTTAATACTGAAGGATGTTGAAAATTTACACTTGTTGTATTAAAATTTACGATAAGATTTTCGGCGATTTTTTGATAAATTCATTTAATGTGCATATTTCTCTCTTATGACAAAGTTAATGCTAAAAAGCATTGGGATTAAATTTGGACGAACATTTTTGGCACACAATCTCAACGATGATTTATTAAATAATGATTGCCAAGTTGAGAATTTGGTGAGTATTTGGGTGTTTTAAAACACCATTTAGGATTTATTTTTATGGAATTATTAACCCTGATATGTAAGTTCACGGTCATATCATAGTTTTCATTATTTAAATGCAAATTATTAAAAAGAACTAATCCAGTTTTTTCTATTTATTTTAGTTAATTTGTCCGGTGTGGAAAAGGTTGGAATGGCAAATTTCGACCTGCTCAAGGTTCTCGGTACCGGAGGTAAGTTAAATATTTTACATACTTTATGTTTCAACTCAAATTGATTTATCTTTTTTCTATTATAAACGTTAAATTCCGTACTAAAAATGAGAACACGTACAAGTTACGTAACTGAAGACAAAAAAATAACTTGAACCTACCTACATAGTTTATTGATTTTATCTAGAGTATCTTCTGCACACAATAGACGTTGTATAACCCTTTTTAATATGGTTTATAAAAATATCCTTTCTAATAAAGTAATTGTTACTTTTATCAATTAATCGAAACTATTTAGAACTTTGTGTCAAATGAAAGTTTAATTAAAAAATTCTTTTTTGTTAACACAAACATACTAATAATAACGTTTAAGCTCAATTTAATTTTTTTATTTTCAATTTGAGAGAAGACATATTTTTAGTATTTGCAAATAATAAATATGTTTGTGGGGTATTTGCCAAATACAAGAAACTATCGGTGAACCAAAATCAATAGAAAACATATCAAGTGCAATAAACAAATATGAATACATATTAAAAATCCAGGATACATTTTAAGGATAAATTATACAAAAGTATACCGCTTATTCATAACGGAATTTCATAACCTTTGCGATAAATATTAAAAAGTAGCAAGAAATAAAGTGGCAATGTGTAATCTAAAGATATACGTTTAACGTTATAAGCGTAACAAAAAGCTTTATCGGAAGAGTCCAGATCATGTTGATAAGAGTGGAGATCTGCAATGTCAAATGGGGCGATAATAAAATTGTAACTTGCTAACAATTAGAACGAAATTTAATAAATGCTATAAAAATTGCCAAAATGTTTGTACATATTGAAGACATCTGATAAAGGGAAGGAGCAAGTTAATTGCAACAAGATTTGCAATTCTAACGACTCTACAATCCCATAGTCCATTGAATAATTTGCGATAAAAGACAAAAGTACAAACTCTCTTGCTTTAAGAATATCATATGCTTTAAATGTTCTGGATTATTTGGGAATCATAAAAGATAAATCTTGCTCTACAGTCAAATTTAATCAAATTTCCAAAACTTAATTACTCAACATATGTCATAAAATAAATGACAAAATTGAAATAAGTGCTGAACAGCAAGGGTTTATTAGTACAACAAATCGTTTTCTTCATTCTTAGCAGATCTTTAAAAGGCTTTTGACAGAGTAAGACTCCTTTATGTGCGAACTGAACAAAAAATAATACAGTACGAATTAGAACAAATAATAAACTTACAAGAGAACTATCTATACTGATAGGAACCCGCCAAGGAGACAGTGAGAGTTTAGCTGTCTTTAATGTTGTAATGGACAAAACCACATGTAGTGTTAAAAAAGTGAACGGAGGTTACAGAATGGACGATAATGCAATAAAAATACTGTACTACACTGAGATGTCATACTAATGACAGAAAATGAAAACGATACAATCACGAATACAAAATATATATTGCACTTATTTGGGAGTGGAAGTATCGAGTGCTAGGAGTCCACATTAAGATGTCCATACGCAAGAAAATAAAGCAACAAGAATGTCAAGCTTATCTGAAGAAATAATATACGTCAACTCAGGGTAAAGTTCGAATCTAAAAGCCAATTGTACGATCGGTTCTATCATACGAGGCGGAAGCTTAGGCAGAGATTTCTAAAACAAAAAGTAAGGTTAGAAGTATAAAAATGCGGGCATTGGGATTGATTAGAGGAATAACGTCACGTGACCAGATTAGGAGTGTTGCAACATAAGAAGAACTAGATATCTAGGATGTTACTAGATTCCCAAGATCAAGACAAAGACACTGGAGAGACCATGTCGTTGGAATGAAGGATAGATAGGCGAAGTGGGCAAAGGAAGAGCAACTCACATCGAAAAGACTTCCTAAAAGATGGCATAAAAGTTGAACATCCACATCTCAAGAGGCTTAATAATTTATAACAGAAAGTGAGGCAAAATATCAATCTCTAAACAGAAATTCATAATATGATATAAATAAGGGAATATTGGCGATGCAATACGTTGGTTTTAATGGTTGGAATCTTGAAACTAGAAATATAACGAGAAGAAATTTCTGGAATGTTGAGGAAAAATATTCAAAAAATCATACATAAGCAGCATTTCGATGTTGCCAACATTTTTGAATATATTCCATCTGCAATCCAATCAGATGTGGAGAATTTTCAACTTAATATCATTGTTAAGGATCAATATCAACCTCAGTGTTCCTCAGTGCTTGCGTGCGATAAATTACTACGAGGAATTTATGGCATAGTCAAAGAGTCAATGTGATAATGTTACATTTGGCATTTTTAAGTGTCAGGAATGTCTCACATTGATATTGGATGAATATGTCTAAAGAATTTTGAAATAATTAAACATCATCAATTATCGAACACGCAGCAAATATTTTAACATCATTAGTACATACCAATTTTAGCGAAGGTAGTGGATATTTTTTTTAATTTTGTCACAAGCTTTCTCGTGAACTATGATGTAAGTACCAGCTTTTTTAACTCTTTACGATCTCGAAAATTACTTTTCATATAAAAAGAACAATAAATAAACTTTCTAGATAATATATTATGATTGAAAAAGTCCTATCTTGACCACTTTTTTTGTTCAAATTGGAGATAAGATAAGACTGCGACTAGGTAGTTAAAGCTCATGGTATAAATTAAAACAATTTCTCTTGGGATTAATGAAATATTGTACATTACATTACACATTGTTATAGCAATCTCATCGGTTTTGGAAAATAGATTCGAAACTTGGGTAATGTCCAAGAAAGATGGAAGATTGTTAGCAACATTCAAAAGAAAAAACATGCGACATATATTTGGAGGGGTCATGGAATATGGCCAATGGCGAAGATGCTATAACTTTAAATTATATACAGACATCGTCAAATTCATAAAAATCGACCGATTACGTTGTTAAGCCAGTGTTGATGATGTTGTATCTAAAATGTGTCAGATTAGTCGATGCTGCTTCCTTTTCGTTTTTTTTTTCACTTTATACATTAAAAATAAACAATGCAGTTATCCATTATGATATAATCCAATATTAAAAAGTGTTTCATGATCGATTTTCCAATGTAAACTTCCATTTTGAAGCGTTCAATTCAACTAGCACAAATATTTCCATGCCGCGCAGGGTTACCAGAAATATACTGTCGAAGATTACACTTACCATAAAAACCATTTCGCTGACATAAATTATTCCGATGATGCATAATTTTCTTCGTAATGTCTAATAAATATTTTGAACACTTTTCGTGTTGTTGACAACAGCTATCTGTTTTTGTTTGTTACTCACAGTACTTTTACTATCAAATCTCAAATATTTTAACATTAATTGGTCATTCCAAATGTTCTGGCTTTAGGTATCTATAAATAATATGCATTGAATTGATTAGAATTACGCGTGGTGGGAGGGAGTGTTGTGTGATATTCACCAGAATACTGCTGTTGTATATTTATTGTTTCATTTCTAGAAAAATATACGTAAATATTCAAAATAGCTAAATGAACTAAATGATTTAGAATGTATTAACAAAAAATTCCAAAACGTTTTTATAAATTCACCAGGAAAAAAACAACGCAAAAATAAGCATCGATTTTCACATCGTTCTCGGTTTGTTCGCAAAATCACACAGAAAAGAATCATATTCAGTGGCCAAACCTTAAACTGAAACACTTAACTTGATTACCTTAACCTGCCCAAAATCTGCACCACCTAACGGATAATAGTTGTGTAGATCAAAATCTGTTTTCAGAATTCGCTAAATGGTGTTTTTTGAAGAGTTCACTTGCTTTAAACGATGATAAAGATCGTAAAGATTTAATAAAGAAAGAAACTCATAAAGATTTAAAGCGGTTATGATGTTGCTTCTGCGTATTAACATCAGTAACTGAACCAATTTCTCGAACTCTTTAATTATTCGTCGAATTCTCGATGCCAACTAAAAATTGCACGCAATTTGCGGAGTCCTTTTTGCGGAACTTTCCCCACTTTTGAAATAAGACTTATAAACAACGACGCGTGTTCGATAATAAAACGATTAATTCAGTAACCGCAATGTCTGTTCATGACAACAGAGAAATTGCAAGTCCTCTTGTGTTGCTATTACAACAGATTGAAAACGGCGGTAAGCTTAATCTATGCATTCTTATTGAGGAGCTTTATAGTTAAAATAGGGTTTGTTTTCACTTCATCACTTAATGGAAAAAACTAAATCATTCAGTCTCAGTATCTCCTCACTTGGTATCACACTGATCAATAACTTTCTCAAAACCATTGTATGTTGGTGAACCAATAAGATTCAAAATGTTTTACTAAAACATCTATATAATAAGCTTCTATTTTTGAACAACCTAATCCTATGGAAGAGAGAGTCAAGACAAGGTCATAGTTCTGATTTCATTTATGATTTTCTTGAATGAAAGATAAATGATGGTTCTTTGTCTTAATTCACTTTCTGGGAATTGCGGAGTTACACAAAAGTTACTCATTGAAAGTCATCATTACACCAATGAAACACTGCCATATTTATCTTTGTGTCAACAGAAACTAAACAGTTTTAGAATATAAAAGGCGATCTGGAAAATGCTAACATCCACCATTATGTAACGTTTTAAGCCATGTGATATCTCACAGGATATTCAAACTGACATTAAAACCTTAAGGCTCAAAAAAAATGAAACGGCTGAAACATTACATCGCATGTTAATAGATTACTAAAATTATGTTATTTAAATCTTAGATCAATTCTTTAAAACCAAGATATCCTGACTATTGATTAGCTTTGTGATACAATATTGACATAATCCTGTCTCAGATTTCAAGAGACAGAATACAATGAGTTAAAAATATTTGTTTATGTCCGATTTATTAGGTTCAGCCAAAAATTTAATTCAAAGTAGAAAATTGATTCAAAAAATCATCAAGAATAGAAAATTTAAAATAAACCCCTCTAAACATATATTTGTTTAAATTGACACAACTTTTTT